AGTGTGTAATTGTGCACTACTTATGCATTCAGGCGGTCAGCAATACTTTGCCACGCTTTTTCTCTTTGCTTTATCACTGTGGCGGTGTTGCCTTTCTTTTTAATTATGTCTTTTACCTCCTCCTATGCCTCCATGAGGATTTCTGCCTCCGGCGGGGAAAAGTAAGCCGCTCTACTTACCATGGTAAATCAGTGAATCTGTGATCGGCGGCGGGGTCTATTTGAGGGAGCCGTGAGCGCGCCCTTATCCAGGATTGGTTTCACCTGGCTTGATGAATCCATGTCTGCTAATCCTGGCTTGGTCTTTGTGCAACCAATTAAGCCTGGACGCTCTTGTTTTGGATTCATTGAGCTCAGCTCAGTCACTTATCCTGGATTTCTTAATCCTACTTTTGTGCAACGGGCCCCAGAAATTGAATATAATATTCATAGGTATGTTTTCATTAGTGTATAATCACTTGAAAATAGGAATCATTGTATTTACGTTTCCTTAGAATGAGATGTTTTTAATCTACTGGGGAGTCCACCGTGTTGAACCACCCTGTATCTATAGTATCCCAGAACGGACAAACCAAACACTAGGGGCCCTATCTTGTCGATCTGAAACGCAAGTATCAAACGCAAGTAACTTTGTGGGCGGATCTCGGGCGCTGTTGCTATTATGCCGGCGGGATAAATGACTTGCGCCTGGCGCAAATCTAAAATGGGTTGGTCTGAAGTAGCTACATTAGTCATAGGTGTGGTTTGGGCGTAACGTGCAATAAACCATTCAGAACACAACAATGTAACGCAGCTTCGCAGGAAGAAGACCCTGGCCTCGGGAGCAGTGTGCACGGGCCGAGCAGTGCGCAAGGGCCAGCTGAGGAGGGAGCAGCGCAAACACCAAGGTGCAGAGGATCCAGACCCACTACACGCTGGAGGACCACCCGTTCCTGCAGCAAACCAGGTTTGACATGCTGGAGCAGGAGCTGTCCGGGATGCGGCAAAGTATTAACATCCGTCTTGACCGGGTGGCGATGTTGCTGCTGCCTCTCAGGCACATCCCCTCAAGTCTGCGCCCTTAAAATAGCATCTGAATAAGTGCCACTGACTTTAGACTAGGTTTTTCCTGGTCTGTGGCAGAATTGCTTTCTGAAACAGCAAAATAGCACCAGGGAACGTTTGTGCCGGAACACGCCTCCTCTTTTCGCTGAACCGCCCCCCGAAGCGCAAGTTCATTCCCTAATTTAAGGACGTGCATCGGTGGAGGGAAAATTCCAATGTGCGTCAAGTGCAAAATAGGAATTATACAAGCGCCAGTGTACAAAGTCAATTGCGCTGAGTGCAAGATAGAGCCCTTGGTCTAAATAGGGCGAGTTTCATGGCCAACCTAGTTTCTCCTTAATGCTGGTCTACAGGGTGAGAGAAGGTTGTTGGAATCAACAAGATGCCTCTAAATCCTACACACTGCTCCTTTAAGATTGACAATTCGAGTAAAAACATTCTTTGCTCAAAGTGACGAAGGAGACACATTTACATCTATCAGCCATAAGATTCTGAGCGCTGACAGGTGAAGTGATTAACACTGATTATCTGGTTATCATGGCACCTGTCAGTGGGTGGGATATATTAGATAGTAAGTGAACATTTTCTCCTCAGAGTTGATGCGTTAGAAACAGGAAACAGGTCAGCAGGAGTGTTTGAGCCAAATTGTGTTGGCTAGAGTGACTTGTGGGGTGTTCCCGTTCTGCAGTGGTCAGTACCTATCAAAAGTGGTCAAAGGAAGGAAAAGCAGTGAACCAGCGACAGGGTCAAAGACTCATTGATGCACGTGGGGAGCGAAGGCTCAAACTGCTGAAAAAGTTAATGCTGGTTCTGATAGAAAGGTGTCAGAACACACAGTGCCGTGTAGCTCCTGTTCTACTTTTAGAGACTATAGGAACCACAAGTAGCCCTGCATTCAGAGAACGCAGTGCTCTAGTGGGGTAAAAGGGTACTATGAGCTCTTTAAGATATGAAGGGGCCTGACCATGAAGAGCTTTGTAGGTAAGTAGGAGGATTTTAAATTATGTTCAGAATTTTACAGGGAGCCAACGTAGAGAAGCTAGTACAGGAGAAATATGATCACATTTCCTAGTTCCTGTCAGTACTCGTGCTGCAGCTTTCTAAATTAATTGGAGCGTTATAATGGACTTATTGGGGCAGCCTGATAATAAGGAGTTGCAGTAATCCAGCCTAGAAGTAACAAATGCATGGATTAGTTTTTCTGCATCCTTCTTCATGTTCACCATCATCACCATCAGTCACTACTATTAGTGCAGTTGTTGCTACTGTTGTTGCTGTGTACCTTTGTCTCTGTCTCTGTCCTTCTGTCTTTACCCCTCTTTCTCTCTCTCTCTCTCTCACCCAAACTGGTTGAGGCAGAAGGCCACCCACCTAGAGCCGGGGGGTCTGTCCGAGGTTTCTGCCTCCTAAAAGGAAGTTTTTCCTTGCCACCGTCGCCAAGTGCTTGCTCATGGTGGGAACTGTTGGGTCTCTGTAAATAATTTTGGGACAGAACGGTCTAGACATTCTAAGGGAAGCATATATAGAGTGAATAGAATAGGTCCAAGCACCGAACCTTGTGTCCATGACTAACTTTAGTGTTTATGGAGGATTTATCGTTAACATGTACAAACTGAGAAAGATCTGATAGATAAGACTTAAACCATCTTAGTGCAGTTCCTTTAATCCCAATTAGATGCTCAAGTCTCTGTTATAGAATATGATGGTCAATGGTGTCAAATGCAGCACTAAGATCTAACAATACTGTGGAGGTGGGTGCTGGTTTTGCAGGAGAGAGAGGTGTGGGGAAGGCTTGTGAGAGCAGCACCAGGAGAGTCAATTATCTCAGCTGCTACTCATTGTGTAATCACTCTACCCTAGAGTAGCTAGAGACTTGATACAAATACTAGTAATGAGACAAATCCATTGTCAGAAGCAATTAAAAGGTCGTTATTAACTTTAACCAGTGCTGTCTCTGTGCTTTGATGAACTCTAAATCCTGACTGGAAATCCTCAAATAAGCTGTTGCTATGTAGAAAGTGTTTGGCGACTACTTTCTCCAGAATTTTAGAGAGGAATGGGCGGTTAGAAATGGGTCTATAGTTGGCTAAAACCCCTGGGTCAAAAGTGGGGAAGAGAAGGGGTTTAATTACAGCTACTTTAAAGGACTGTGGTACATATCCTGATAATAAAGAAAGATTGACCATATCCAGTAAAGAAGTGCCAACTAAGGGTAAGACGTCTTTAAGCAGCCTAGTTGGGATGGGATCTAACACAGGTTGATGGCTTCGATGTAGAAATTATTACTCCCCTTTTTATAAATTCTGATATAGCTTGTGTTCAGGTCTTCAGAGTTTGAATATTAAATTATAAGATAGTAATCTGATTTAGTTTTCTTCACAGAAAGATGCTCATTGTCCCCCATCATCATCATCTTCATGTTCATCGTCATCAGTCAGTAGTAGTGTATTGTTGCTACTAGTGTTGCTTTGCACCTCTCTCTCTCTCTCTCACCCCAACTGGTCGAGGCAGACGAGCACCCACCTAGAGCCGGGGGGTCTGTCCTAGGTTTCTGCCTCTTAAAAGGCAGTTTTTCCTTGCCGCCATCGCCAAGTGCTTGCTCACGGTGGTACTGTTGGGTCTAGACCTGCTCTATTTGAAAAGTGTCCTGAGATAACTTCTGTTATGAATTGGCGCTAGGCTATACAAATAAAATTTAATTGAATTGAATACCTGCACATGACTTCTCTGTGCCTATCATTTATAAACTACCCAAGTGACATGGTATTATAAAGAATACCATGTTATTTCACTTCCTCCAAAGCCAGAACAAAGACTGCCATGTTTATGGTAGAGCTCTACCTTCCAGCACTTCTTCAACTCCTGAGTGCTCTTGATTAATGTTTGCCAAAATAAGAAAGAACAAAAGAGTAGAGGCAGTGCAGGCATGCTAGAGTCAACAGTGGCAGGGAGCATCTTTTCTAGCCTGGTGTCATTCCCTGTTGGAAACGTATTTACACACAGCAGCAAGTGCCTGGGAAAAGTCAACAAATACTCCACTCGCCTGTCCTTCCAGGGTCAGGACAGGTCACCAGTAAACAGTAAATTCTGTTCAAACAGTTACCGTCACGCTTTTCTTCTCAGCAGGCGTCAGGATGATGTGAACTTTACTTAAGAGTCACAACACCCTAATGGTTCCGGAAAATGGTGCAGATAGGTTTGCTGGAAATGTTGCGATGATTTGTCTGTGAGCATGTGGATTCTAACATAGGAGGGTGTGCTCAGAGCAAATCCACAGGGGCAATACGAGAAGAGCTGGTGAAAAGAGGAGGCTGGTGACTGTGTTTGTCAGAAAGGGTATATTTATACCAAGTGGCAACCTCTGTTGCCTACACTGAAGGAACTGCACTTGAGGCTGGCTCTAGTGGTGAGTCAATCTCCATCAGGCCCGATATTAAAATGTCCAACTTTACAGCAGGAATACACGTTTACAACCAGGTACAAAAAAACTGTTTTGGTCTCTATAGTTTATTTCACCATTCATTAAAACTGTTCCTTGCTTACTGATAGTAAATAGATAATTTGTAAAGTGGCAGTTACTTTTCATTTGCTATTGAACTTTACATACATCACCTTAACCTTCATTTTTCAAAATCTTATTTATGTCTAAATCTGATGAAATTGAACTGGAAACTGACTCATGTTCAGTGTAGCAGTAGAGAGGAACCTTTGCAGAAGAACTTTTTCTGTCAAACCCTGGTTCAGCCTGAGCTGAAGCTATGCTTGAAAACTAGCCTGATGGATCAAGCTGCTAGAGGAGTAAGTCTCCATGGTAATGATTTATGAAACGGAATTTTCTATACGCTGCCATTTTCGTCAGGTCCCCCTTGCAACAGAGCAGGGGTCTCAAACTGCCAGCCCAAATAGAATAAACCTTGTTAGGTGATGCAAATCTAATACAATAATTTAATATGCTGGTTGGTTTAATAGTATCATTTATTTTCAAAACCTAACCCATGGTTCTACCCATGAAACTAAAAACCTGCAGGTACAACACGACACACTCGGCTCGGCTTACTGAAATGAAGATACTGGGTGATACATATTACAACGGTCAGATGGAACTAAGTCTAATCATTTATATGTACATGATAGTCAAACATGAACTTACACATTAAACAACATTAAGCTAGTGCCTTGTTTTTATTATTCAATACAAAAACATCACTGTATTGATACACCCTACCCACCGACTGTAATAATCACCCTCCTTCTCATCCACCCAGACCTTTACTACAACAAGTGTCACACAGAAAAACCAAAGTATGCAGACGACACTAGATCTATACAACTACAAATTAAAATCAATTAGAAAACAATCCCAGGGTTTTTACAAAACTGATTAGCCAACATGTTCAATTGTCTCAGCAGATAACATTAAACGAATGCTTATATTCTCTTAATGGCGTCATCGATTTCTGAAATCTGGTCCTTCAGTTGGTTCCACTGTTCAGGGTTCAGGGAGATACCTACAAGAACATTTAAAACAGACAGTTTTAAGTTTAACTGTGTCTCACACCAAAACCACCAAAAACAAACATCTTTCCAGGTACTCGTGGAGTTATTCAGATAAATATACTGAAATGTATTTAAACATATCTGAAGCATATGCAGGGCTCACTGATGTGATTACCTTTTTTCCCTGGCTTCATCTCCCCGTCTTGGTTCATCCAGTACTCTCTGATGTCAATCAGGACTTTACCTTTGAAGTCCCTGACGCTGACATATCTCATCTTTCCAATCTATAAGAAGCAAACTAACAGTCAACTTATCAATATCATTCAATTCAATTCAATTTTATTTGTATAGCACCAATTCATAACAGAAGTTATCTCAGGACACTTTTCAAATAGAGCAGGTCTAGACCGAACTCTTTAACATTAATTACAGAGACCCAACAGTACCACCATGAGCAAGCACTTGGCGATGGCGTCAAGGAAAAACTTCCTTTTAAGAGGCAGAAACCTCGGTCAGACCCCGGCTCTAGGTAATAGTACTAAGCAATAACTCCATCTACACAAAAACTGAAGTTAAAATACTTAAGGCAGAGGTCTCCAATGTGGTGCCCGAGGACACCTAGTAGCCTGCAAGTAGCTAATTAGCCCTTTTCCATGCACATGTCTTGGCTGGGCTTGGGATTGGCAAGGATTTGCCTCTAAATTATAACAGGGCTACCCTTTGGAAGGTGTGCCTTTACAGGCCGAGAGAGCTGCGATGGTCAAGAGAAGGTAGCTACATTAATGAGAACGAAGCAGTGAATAAAATGTTATTTTCTGAATGTTTCAGTTATGTTCTAAAGCCACCTTTCTCCCTGCAGTATGTAGGCTAGTTTTTACTGAAGAATAACAGCAAACTAAGCTACGCTAATTTGCTATACAAATTTGACTATTTCAGAGCTTTTACTATATAGCAGCCATTTTCTGTAGTGACATATTTTCAGTCTCAATGGAATGGTAAATGGACTGTACTTATATAGTCATATAGCACCTTTCTAGTCTTTTGACCACTCACTGCACTGTACACTACATGCTACTCACCCATTCACACACATTCATACACTGATGGCAGTGGCTGCCATGCATTGTCAAGCAAGGTGCCAACTGCTCATCACAAACAGAAACTAAGCATTCATACACCTTCAAACACCGATTTGCAGCATTAGGAGCAGTTTGGGGTTCAGTACCTTGCTCAAGGACATTTTGAGAGGAGCTGGGATTGAACTGCCAACCTTCTGATTAGTGGACCACCTACCTCTGAGCCACAGCCACCCCTGTATGGGGAATACTTCCCTCGTATGGAAATATGCATTGTTTTAAACATTGTTTAGCATAACTCAGACTAAAAAAAAAAAATATTGAATTTAATAAAGAAATATAAGAGAAGATTAGATTTTTGTCTGGTCGAGAATCGAGAATTGTATTGAATCATGAGTTGAGTGTATCATTAAATTTCTAGTTGAAACTAGATTATACCCACCTGAAACATGTTGTCGTCACTGTTACTGCTGCTCTTGGATGAGCCGCCTGGCTTGGAACTCTCTCCGCTCTTTGGTTTCTTGGCTGGTTTCTCCGGTGCGCTTGACTTCTTTCTCTTTGCCTACAAAAAAAAAAAATAGACAAAAGGTATAAAGAAGTGAAAAGGAACACTGTGTCTAACTGCACTAAGATTTTATTCACATAGTTATGTCGGTGCTGATGAGCAGTAACAATATCAATAAATTCCTAGCTATACTCATCCCTGTGTCCCTTGTATCTGACTTCGCTCCTTCAGTGTTGTACCTTGTTGTTTGGTCCTGTAACGTTGGCTTTGTGTGGACTTTTTTTTTTTTTCCCAAAAAAAAAATTCGGGGGGGGGGGCGGTGGTGGGTTTTTTTTAAAAAAAACCCTTTTTTTTTTCGGGGGTTTTTTTTCCAAAAAAAAGAGAGGGGGGAGGAAAGAAAAAGGACAGCCTTCTCCACGTACAGCTGTGTATTTCTCTTTATTAAGTTGAAAAAGTGAGAGACCTGTGCAGTTTTCAGACTGTACGTTGCCGGCTTTTTATTAAGTAGTAGAGACCGCCAGTTTCAGACTGACTGACCGACACGCCCTCGCTCCTGCGTCCCTGATACTACCTCCAGAGGAGGATCAGGGATGCAGGAGCGACATTTCCCCCCTCGCCGCATCTGAAACTTTCACACAGAGGAGGGTGCGGAGAATTGGCCTTGCTAAAAGCCAAATTCTATGAAAACACAATAGTTATCAATCTACACATTTCACAACAAACCTAAATGTCCCTGATGTCCCACCTTCAAACACAACCTCATTTGGCAATCCATGAAAAAGCTACTTAACCTCCCACTTTTCTATAGCAATACATACTTCCTACGGGCACGGCCCTAGTACTTATAGAATTACAAACTGTGTATCTGTGGTGAAAAAAGTTGTATTAAGGTACTGCTAATGCAAACTGAACACTTTCTACTGCTGCAGTTTCACATTAAAAGTGTTTAGCTGGAGAAACACAAGTTGACTTTTATTGTGACGTAGTCACAGGAAATGCAATGTACTGAGCTTGACAATGCTATCGTTCATTATTGTTTTTTGACAGTGGATCAGCTGTAAATATGTCAGGGAGTAATGGCACCAGAAGCAGCCACAGTTAGCTGTTAGAGGAACATCCAGGTAATGTTAACCAACTACTTTCACTGTTCACAGAATCATGATAAAAATCAGACCACGGCTGCTCACATTATGAGATTGTTTTATTGCACATCTATCTCAGGGTTCTCTCTAAGATATCCTCTTCCACAACATTTTCTTGACAATACAGGACAACACTTGCTCACAAACGGTTATATAATTTACTGGAAGACCTAGTATTGACACATTTTCCCCAGGTTTATTCCTTACTTTTTTCATGATGAGTGTCTCAGGGTCATACAGGTAGGTGTTTATGGTACATGTCAGCTTGCTTTCCACTTTTCTCACAACAGACAATTTTCCTGCAGCATCTATTTAACTACAGTTCACTACAGCTTCCTCCTACCTTGGTTTACATAGGTGATCTGACTGAGGGGCTAAAAAGCAATTACAATATTCCAGGACAACATAGATTATTTTCAGGGTATTTGGCCATTTTAATTCATTACCATGACTGGAAAACAAGTCCCTAAATTTTCCAGGGCGTGAGGATAACATGAACTCTGGATTCTAGCAGTATAAAGTGGTTACATTCTGGAACTCTGCTATATGCTCCAAAAGTTAAATCTGTGACTCAAATAGTCAGACAGTATTTACCATGGTTATCATCCTATTTGGATCATATCTTTGGGCAATAATATCTCTGGATTCTCTGCTTATATTGCGCAGTTTACAATAACAGTGCAACTGCACAATAGCACCAAGAATGGTTAAAGATGATTAATCAATCAGGACTACATTCTGCACCTATTTCATTTTAGCAATCACCTCTTTCCTTGGTGAAAGTTGAATTATGGATGGTTTTTCACGAGTCTGTCCACAATGATATAGGCTAATAAAAATAACATCTATTTTGTTATAAAGTGAAAATATAAAATAATAATAGGCCAATTAGGCCTGAATTATTTTCTGTTTGTCCAAGAGCTAGAACCTTTTGAAGCAGACACTGGGTTCTGCTTCAAAAGGTTCTAGCTCTTGGACAAAAAGACACTATGACCCTAAACTATCAGACACCTACTATTGTCTGTCTATCTCAGACACATCCAAAGTACATGAAGCAATCAAAAGGTAGTATTAAAGCACAAACCTTGGTCTCTACTTCACTGTCCGAGTCACTTCCAGATGTGGAAGACAGAACTTCCTTTGATTTTGGCATTCTGCTGAGACAGGGATCAAATATCAGAACACTATTTCAGTGCAAAACCACTATAAGGGTTCATTAAACAGACTACCTACAGAGACACAGAGAGGAACAAGTACTTTGGGTGTTAATGCTCGTGAAACCTTTCAGATTTGATCCTAAAAGGTAATGATATTCGCCAGTCTGTGTAAATGAAAAAGAATAGATTGCAAAATTCTGCTGTGCATACTACAAAAATTAGTCCTTACAGAATACTTGATATATGTGCATTATGAAGGGATCTCTTCACAGACAGCATGGAAAGCAGGAATGATTACAGTGACCAATAAGTGTAACCAATCAGAGCCAAGAAAGTTTGCCAATTGTTGAGTCCTGTTCCCAGATTGTCAGATATCAATGCTGGGAATTATACAATCCACTATCCTTAAGCCATCAACCCAAACCCTCTTTCTATCTTTCTCGGCTCTGATTGGTTGTTTACGTTGGGGCCCAGTGGATTCTTGCATTAGGAGCACTAGGAGGAGGCTCAGTGTTTCCTCTAAGATTTTTTGTAGCAGTGGAGGCAGGCCCATCCGAATAGGTAAAAAAAATTGTGAAGTCATGATGATTTGACATTTGTTGGGGTCTGTAGCAAAACAAACATGTTTTCTTACATCTGGAGAACAAGATCGATGTAGGCTAGGGCATCTCTGCAGCTCTACAGTATTTCATTATAAAGCTGTTTGTCACACATTTTACTTTTTTTTTTAAAAATGTTGCAATTTTTATAAAATTTCAATAAACTGTGCAATACTAGTGAGCAAGTGTTTCACTGACAAATAACTAGGGCTGCTTGATCTGGTAACGTCATATTGCGATTATCCTGACAGACACTGTGGTTGCGATGTTTCACGGTTAGTGGGAATGATCACTTTGCATCGCAAATGAAATGTACATCTGGAGAATCCCGTGTATCATTCGTTCTTTTCATATTCAATTGAGATTCCAAAATCGGAAAATGAAAAAACGGTTTGTTATTTCCTTATTCGTTTATGAATCTGATACCAAAAAAAACGGTTCATTTTTTGTACTTTCGATTTATTGCTCAGATCAAACATAGGAAATGAAATAACGGGCCACGGATCGATTTTGATATTTAATTTTTTCGTTTTGTGTGAACCAGAAGTTATTGTCTCTCTAGCTTGATTCACTTCTTCAGTTTAACTAACGTTAGTCTTCAAAACTGAGGATCAATCATGGAGAGTTTCATCTTTTCATTCATCTTTCACCTTCATCTTCCTGGCGCGTGCGCGAAAAAGCTGCATGCTGCCTGTTACTCCAGTCTGCTTTCTAACTTCTTAACTTTTATTCTCTTTTTGTTCGTTCTTATTTTTTCACTGTAACTCTATGAAGTCCTGTCCTCTCTAACAAGGTTGTTTGAGAGAGTTTTTGTGTTCATTTTCGTGTTTTAATGTCGCTTCCACCGGGACAGCTGCCGTTGTTTACTCCGGAGAACAGCTGATCTAATGCCGGTCAGTACGGTGGACAGAACAGCTGATCTAATGCCGGTCGGTACGGTGGACAGAACAGCTGATCTAATGCCGTCAGTAGGTGGACAGAACAGCTGATCTAATGCCGTCGGGGAAGAACAGCTGATCTAATGCCGGGTACGGTGGACAGAACAGCTGATCTACCAGCTGAACTCTGGAGGAAACACACCGGGGATGCAGAGGAGGGAAGTAACGTCGGGGGAAGAGAGGAGGGTCGAGACGGGACGGGTTTATGGAGAAGGAGAAGATTGAAGCAGAGTCTCCCCTCTGTTGTTATGGTGGATGCACGGTCTCCTAGCAACGGAATGTACGAACTGACGGCATTAACGCGCAGCCACACAGAGTACCGGGAGTCTGGTGTGTGTCACTGAGACAGGGCTGCACAGGGACATCACGGACCGGAGCATATCTGTCGCTTCCACACCGTCCGGGTGGACCGGTGTTGTACCGAGAGCGAACAGCTCTGTGGCCGGATGCTGAACTGCTGCCGTTGGACTCCGTCCATATCATCTACCGAGAGAGATCCTGCACGTCATCATCGTTGTCGTACATCCCTCTGCAAACCCAACATCTGCTATGTGCCTCTGCTGAAGAGGAAGCCTGCGACCACTTTACACTGTGTGACTTTAAAAATTATACTATATGTATATTCTTAATATATTTACGTCTAATTCATATGGAGCATGTAAGGAAAGTAATTTGTCTGATTGTGATTCTGATTGTTCAGAGGAACTAAACGGGTGACTGTCAGAACATCGCTGGATCTCCATCTGCTGCAGCCTAGTAGAAATCTCTACATGTGTCTTGCCAGTTTCAAATAAGTCCTTAATAAGTCCTTATAGTTTCAAATAAGTCCTTAAATACAGAGTACAATCACTGCATGATTGAGTTTTTTCAGGCTTTGCGAAACTGCTGCAAACTTCCGATTGCAACACACGAAGATGACAATAACTTCCGGTTCACACAAAGCGAAAAAATTAAATATCAAAATCAAAATCGATCCGTGGCCCGTTATTTCATTTCCTATGTTTGATCTGAGCAATAAATCGAAAGTACAAAAAATGAACCGTTATTTGTTTTTTGGTATCAGATTCATAAACGAATAAGGAAATAACAAACCGTTTTTTCATTTTCCGATTTTGGAATCTCAATTGAATATGAAAAGAACAAATGATACACGGATTTTTGTGGGCAGCACTTCATTACAATGCTGTTTGTCACACATTTTATCTTCATCAAACAAATAGCAGCTTCTGCCATTTGGATATTGTAAAATATTGCATTTTCCACAACATTTGCATTAATTGTGCAGCCCTTGTAACAAAGTGCTTCTCAGACAAATAACTCCTGAAAACCCCTAAAGCCTTTCCACATCTTTAACCACGGTCGAGTTAACGTTCCTGGCTAATTTAAACAAAGACGGCAGCTAGCCGGTTACCTGCACAGGTAACGGTTTACAGCTTGTTGTCATGCAGCGGGTGGAATGAGTCTTTGAGGATTGTGGCAATAACGTAATCCTCACAGCATCGGTAAGTGCTTCTAAATTACCTCGTTTTATATATATATCGTGTCTTTGTAAGAAACTGGTGGCTCCCTCTGTGTGTCGGCTGTACTAACGTTAGCTAGCTTTCTGTAGGACAGTCCCATTAGGTCCGGACCTGAGGACTAACGTCATTAGCGCACGTTATTTAACGACGTTTAAGGGTTGACCGATAAAAACACCATTCTCCTTCATGAGGCGTTTTAGCGCTTTAAACTGCGCACATTCCACCATGTTTGACTTCAGACTGTTTAAACTTGAACTAACGTTATATATTTCATCTGGCTAACTACCTCACTGAGACTCTGGCATGCAAGGTGATTCAACAAAGGCAAGGCAGGTGTGTGATCGATGGCTGCACTGTAATGATAAGACTGTGCTTGTATACGGGCATGAACGTTAGCTAACTACGTTACCTAACGTTAGCTAAATGCTTATTTAGATAGCTTAGCCACGGTTGCTAGCTAACGTCAGCAGAGAGGAATCCCGGTTGTATGTATGCAGCTGGACTGTCTTTAGCCAGAGCCCTGGATTCTAACAGCTGTGCAGGAAAACAGCGACCTGTTCTTATATTAAAGCAACAATCCCCGCAACACACACTTTTCAGCGTGTTCTTTTCAAACTGTTAATGCTTACATGATACGATGTAGTAGAGCGGTTCTCTTGACAGGAAGCGGAAAGCCGATTTACTTTCCGGTCGGTTCTGCCTAGCCGGAAGTTTATTTTTTATTTTTTTAAATGACTTTGAATACAATCAGATTTCCAAAGAATAGGAATGTTGTTCGCCAGATAGACTTAGCTTTGTCCTATGGCAAGTCCATAAACAATACATTATGAGAGAAGATATTTATTCTATTTATTTATTTAATGTTTATTTAGCTGGGACAATGCACAATATAGCTATAGTAGCAGATATACAGTAGCTAAAAGCCAATTAAAAGGAAAAAAGCCGGGGACTACCCTGTGCAGAGGCCACTAGTGATGCATATACATTTATTTGTATGTCTATGTATAGATGTGTATATATATATTTATTTCTATTGTATGTTTTTCTTTTTATATTTGTATATGTTTGATCATAATCAATGTATCATTTTATATTGCCATTGCCTTGCTCATTTATAAGTGCAAATTGTTCTAAATAAAGTATGTAAAAAGAAAGAAAGAAAGCCATAAAGCTTCGGAATACACTGGAAAAATTATCATTGATTTCAGTTTCATCACAACATACACAATTATTGGTTTCAAATCCAAATCGTTGCCATAACTGTAGTGGATGGACACACTCCTTTTCATTTTTTAAAATTGATTTCTTTTGCTTTGGCAAATTTAAATATTGAATTCATATTTAGTTAACATGCAAACATTTCTTTTCAAATAGTTTTACACTAAACCACATGCAAAAAACTGCATTAGCATAAAGTTGGCATATCTGCAAAATAAATAAAATAACAAGTGTTGGATATTGAACCCTGAAACTGGTGTATGTGGGAATCGGCCTCTACAGAGCTCCGGTCAGAGAAATGCGCGAAAACAGGGAAAACAACCGCTCTGTACTTTCAAAATAAGGGTTGTGGTTTCAAATTAAAAGTCTCTGAACCAAATGTCTCTGAACATGAAGAATTCACAACAAAGGTTAGGTAAAGGTACAGAGCTAACTTTGGCAGCTGTGGCTCAGAGGCAGAGCGGGTCATCCCCTAATCGGAAGGTTGTTGGTCCGATACCCGGCTCCTGCCGCCACATGTCGAAGTATCCATGAACAAGATACTGAACCCCAAATTGCTCCCAATGCTGAGCATCGGTGTGTGAATGTGTATGAATGAGGTAGGGGCTTTGCCATCACTGTGTGAAAGGGTGAATGTGGCATGCAGTGTAAAAGTGCTTTGAGTGGTCAGAAGACTAGAAAGGCGCTATAGAAGTACAGGTCCATTTACCATTTAAATGGTGGAAACATTAATATTTATTGAAAGTGGATTATATATGTAGTCGAAATGTAACATACATTTTGAATTTGGTGCCTATTTGACCGAGAAAAGACAGAAAGTGACTTTAGGGCGCATTTGTATTAAAGACAACAACTCCCACAATGCACAGCTCCGCAAGCCGCTCCCACTAACACTATCAAGGACTACAACAACGTGAATGTAAACCATTTATTTACAGAAATATATCAGCAACAACAAAAATAAATATGTTAACAATGACAGTTGTAGTTCCTCCTGAGCGTCCTCAACGTCTCGGTGCCGCAGTACTGGCCATCTGGAGCTGGATATTTCTGTCAGATAGCCTGCACCACATCAGCGGGTAAAACGACACGATGGCCTCGACCCAATCTCTCGCCTTGCAGGACCCATTCCAGAAAGGCTGTTAGGCGATATTGTCTACAAGACATTGAGCACACAGTTAGAGATACATGGTCTTTGTGTTTAGCGTGCCACAGTAGTTAGCAATGCAACTGCAAGCTGTTTGTGCAGTAAAGAAGCTAATGTTAGTTCAGTTGGCTGACGTTACGTATTAACCGGGAATAACTTTGTGATAATACAAATACAAAACAAATTGTGTGCATACATGCCACGTTGTTATAAGACAGACAATGGAAACACTCACTTTACAGTCAGACGTCCGTGTGTCCGTAGGCGCACAGCGAGAGCACAGGCACCAGCAGTCCGCCCCAGCTCGAGCCAGTCCGGGCTCCTCGTCCGCGACAGGCAGGTCCTCTGCCTCGGCTGCAGAAGCCTCAGCTGCTCTTCGCTATATTGCGGCTCATAAAGGTAGCCACGAACATCCGATTCGACCATCATACTTTCGAAATTTCTTCCATATTACATTGATTACCATAGTCGTAACGTCTGGCTCGTCAGCGCCTTCCAAACTAGATGGCGGTTATATTTTTTAGTTTCTGCAGGTGAAGTCCCACCCACTGATCTGTAATAGGTCTGTAGCGTGAGTGAAAAAAAAATGAGGAAGTAGTGCTTGTAGTCTCACCCCCTCTACAGAGATATGAGACTTCCTGCTTCCAATGACGCAAAATGAAGATTTTTACATCATTGGAAGCAGGAAGTGCAACACTAACATCCGTATTTCTCCCCTCTCAGGGAAAGTGAGGGAATGATGCACGACCATTCAAAAATATGACTGGGGTTCTAATGATACAAAGCTTAATGCAAATGGGTGAAGTGTCCCTTTAACTATTGCCTTCTGCTAGCCATGAGGGAATTGAGGCAGGGGCATCCAACCAACTAACTGTAGCTAAGCTGGCTGTGGCTTGGCTGCGTTGGTTGCTTAGTGGTGTTGGCTGATGGGGTGATTTGTAAATGGCAAGCTAGTTAATAGCATGGAGTCAATGGTTCAAATAAAATATAGGAACATGGGCGCCTGGTTAGCTCAGTCGGTAGAGCTGGCAACCCATATACGCAGCGGCCTGGGTTCGAATCTGACCTGCGGCCCTCTGGTGCATGCCATCCCCTGCCCCCGCCCATCCCCAGCCGCCCCCCCATCAAACAAAGGCACAAAGGCACAAAGGCCAAAAAATAATACTACAAAAAAAAAAATATATATATATATATAGGAACATTACAGATTATTATTAAGTTATTCTAAATATGATATGATATGATATAATGGTATGAATATGATTTATATATAGGCTACAATGGTTTGCTTAAAGTTACATAAGTGAGGTAAAGAAGAGAGAGAGCAGAGTGCGACAACATCATAACCTACAGTGAGGACAGACTATAGTTCCACTGCTGAGAAATTCAGAGATGCAGACAGGATAGATAGATAGATAGATAGATAGATAGATAGATAGATAGATAGGACAGGATAGAGGAAGCAGTTTTAATGAGGAAGCTACCCCCTTAAATAGGAAATTGAGGTAATACGAGATTTAGGTAAGTACAGAGTTACACTACAAATAATAGTTGGTGTTAATTTGGCCAACTGTTTACCTTTGGGGTTAGGTTAGGTAAGGGACATTATGCCTGTTAAAACTATTGTTTTTAGTTCACACAGACAAATGTAGGATATCTCTCAGGCTATGCTGAGGTACCTTGCTGGTTGTTCTGTTTTTTCCATAGCCACCCACATGTACTCCTGCATAACCCAAGACGTAGTGTAACTGTTACATCATGGCTGTGTGCAGAAGGAAAAACGTATAAAGCCAAAATCATTATCTTTATCATTTATTTTTACTACTTTTATGATGTTGTTTCTACTCAGAAACATTGTACTGGTATTGCTTTGTTTTTTTAATGTTAATTTGATAGAATAACCACAACAGTGACAATAGTGACACAGGCAGAGAAAACAACCACAAAGAGATAATTTTTTAGAATGTATTCAATTGGAAAATTATAAATAGCTGACTGTTTGATTACCTTTGATCACATGTTCTTGTTAAAGGTCCGGTGTGTAACACTGGTCTATTGTCACTAATGGAATATAATGATCATAACCATATTTTCATTGGCAAAACTGAAAATAAGAATTGTTATGTTTTTGTTACCTTAGAATGAGCCCTTTAGAATTACAGAAGCTGCAGATCGGTCAAACAAAGCACTAGTATTTATAAATAAAAACATAAAATACATATCTTTAGTGCAGATAGAGCAATGAAGAATGGCCAGGCCGGGCTAGCGAGAAATAGCCCCTTCCCCACCCAGCCCCCCAGCAACACAACCAGAAGCCCAGTTGGGAGACAGGCGGGGGCTGTGCCAGCGATGATCCACTGTTTAATTCTCTGTGTCATCTCCAATTTTTCATATGTGCTGCCGGAGCAAACACTGTGTCATCAGGCTTCCGGCCCCACCTGTTTTGCGTGGACGAGCAAATGTACATTATAATCCCCCAAAAATCGCTATGTATACCATAGTACAGCAGCATCTTCAAATGTAAACTGGGGAAAAACGACTTTGATTAAAGCTACACTAATGGCAAACCTGATTTCTCTCCCACTCTTCTCTCAGCAGCTCTTCTTTACTGTAATTGCAAAGTGTGGACGCCCCTCCTATTCAGTGTTGGTCATGTAGGCATGTTCTTACTGCCAGTTGAAAGACAGAGGCCTCAGTTGTCTTTCCTCCTCCCGCCTCCTCCTCTTCCTCCTCATACCTGTCTGTCGTCAGTTAACACTGGGAATGACTAGGAACAACACCAAAACACTGCTAACTAGTTAAGGTAAGCCTTTAGATATTTTATCATTTACGTTATGATTGTTTGAATTAGTTAATCCAAGTATTTAGACTATGACTGTACAGATAATAACTTTATTTGCAACATACAAAAACAAATTAAAACAGTTAGTGACATAAAGTTATATGTAATATTGCTGTCGGAGACAGTAAAGTAGGCATTAATCAACATTCATTAAAACAAAAATCAATATGATGTGAAGAAATATTCAAGGATTCATGAATATAATATATACTATAATCTAAAATAGTCATTTACAGAACATTAGTGAAACTGGAGGAGGTTGTATGGCCTGTTGAAGTGAAGTCCATAAACAAGAACTAAGTTCTTTAACATTTTTAAAGAGAACACATTCTCTGACATCAAGGTAACAACTTGCAGAAAATGGTTAATGTGGAGATAAGAGCAGAAAATAATGATTAACTGGATCCTGAATAGGTCACAGATGTCCATTGTGCCTCATGGCTCAGTGTTGCCATATCAAACAGTGTTGTCCTGTAAACACTCTGCCACCAACAGGAGCAGCACCTTAACTTGTTTTGCTTCACAAGTATTTTACGATACGTATTTTAATAAACTAACTTGTCTACTGTTACAGACCTTACAGAGGAAGATAATCAGGAAGGATGAATCGCTCATGTGTGAACTGCTTAAAAACTATGCTGATACATCTCAACTTTCTGTGCTGGGTAGGTTGTTAAGCACCCCGATACACTGTGGCCGTCACACACTGTCAAACCAAACACTGGATCATCTCATCAATGTGTAATACCTGTTACAACCAATAGGTTAGATTAGATAGATACTTTATTCATCTATAAATATCAATATCAATAGTTGGTTTTATGAACTTATGGTCATCATTGCCAATGTAAAAAAGCCAATGTATTTTGGTAACCTTTTGTTGTTCAGGATGGTTGAAATAAAGTTTCCTTATAGGACCAGTGTGTAGGATTTATTGGCATCTAGCAGTGAAGTTTCATATTGTGACCATTTGAATACAGCTTAGCTTTACAAAATTGATCCTCTTAAATGTTACACTCTGGATCTTTATAAAGAGAGAAAATCATGAAGATTCTCAATGGCTAGTTATTAGTTTGGGTCATCCTGCTGTTTTGAATGAAGTTAGTTTTTTTCTTAAATGAATAGGATGTATCTCTTCCTCTCACAAGAATAATACACACTAAAAATAATAGCGTCAATATAGCAACGACACAATACTGTGTTGGTGCTATACAAAATACATGTAGAATTATTAATTATTATAATTATTATTGTGTATGCCCTAAAATTGGTCACATTCGTTTAGGTGAGATAGCAGTTTTAAATGTTAAAGGTAATAGTTAAAATAGATTTATCTTCTAATATTATTATTATTATCTCATCTCATCTCTCATCTCATCTTCATCCACTTATCCGGGATCGGGTCGCGGGGGTAGCAAGTTCAGCAGAGGACCCCAAACTTCCCTTTCCCTGGCCACATCGGCCAACTCTGACTGGGGGATCCCGAGGCGTTCCCAGGCCAGTGTTGAGATATAATCTCTCCACCTGGTCCTTGGTCTGCCCGTGGCCTCCTCCCAGCTGGATGTGCCAGGAACAGCTCCCTCGGGAGGCGCCCTGGAGGCATCCTCATCAGATGCCCGAACCATCTAAGCTGGCTCCTTTCGACGCAAAGGAGAAACGGCTCAACTCTGAGTCCCTTGCGGATGTCCGAGCTTCTCACCCTATCCCTAAGGGAGATGCCGGCCACCCTCCTGAGGAAACCCATTTCGGCCGCTTGTACCCGGGATCTCGTTCTTTCAGTCACGACCCATCTCTCATGACCATAGGTGAGGGTAGGAACAAAGATCGACCGGTAGGTCGAGAGCTTCACCTTTCGGCTCAACTCCCTCTTTGTGACAACTGTTTTATAAAGGGATTGCAAAACTGCCCCTGCTGCCACAATTCTCCGGCCAATCTCCTGCTCCATTCTACCCTCACTCATGAACAAAACCCTGAGGTACTTGAACTCCTTCACTTGGGGTAAGGACTCACTCCCTACCCGGAGTAGACAATCCACCGGTTTCCTGCTGAGAACCATGGCCTCCGATTTAGAGGTGCTGATCCTCATCCCAGCCGCTTGACACTCAGCTTCGAACCGATCCAATGAATGCTGAAGGTCACAGGCCGATGATGCCATCAGGACCACATCATCCGCAAAAAGCAACGATGCAATCCTCAGCCCACCAAACTGCAACCCCTCCCCCCCACGACTACGCCTCGATATCCTCTCCATGAAAGTCACAAACAGGAGCGCAGCCCTGGCGGAGGCCAACACCCACTGGAAACGAGTCCGACTTACAACCAAGAATCCAGACACAACTCTCGCTTTGGAAATACAAGGATTGGATGGCCCTGAGAAGTGGCCCCCTCACCCCATACTCCCGCAGCATTTCCCACAGGATACCCTGGGGAACCCGGTCATATGCCTTCTCCAAATCCACAAAGCACATGTAGACCGGATGGGCATATTCCCAGGCCCCTTCCAGGACACCTGAGAGAGTAAATACTTGGTCTGTTGTTCCAGGACCAGGACGGAACCCGCACTGTTCAATCAGAGTTTCGACAATCAACCGGACCCTCCTTTCCAGCACCTTAGAGTAAACTTTCCTGAGGCTGAGTAGTGTGATGCCTCTGTAGTTTGCACACACCCTCTGGTCCCCCTTTTTAAATAGGGGAACCACCACCCCAGTTCCGCCTGAAAAGGCGTGTCAACCAAGACAGCCCCTCAACACCCAGAGCCTTCAGCATTTCTGGCGAATCTCATCAATCCCCGGGGCTTTGCCACTGTGGAGTTGTTTGACTACCTCAGTGACTTTCCGCAGGGAAATTGATGCAGATCCCCCATCACACTCCAGCCCTACCTCTATCACAGAGGGCGGGTTTGTTGGTCTAGTCGGGTTCAGGAGTTCCCCAAAGTTTTCCTTCCACCGCCCAATTACCTCCTCAGTTGAGGTCAGCAGTGTCCCATCCCCGCTGTACACAGCTTGAATGGTTCCCCACTTCCCCCTCCTGAGGTGTTGGTCGGTTTTCCAGAAGCGCCTGGGTGCCGTCTGAAAGTCCTTCTCCATGACTTCTCCGAACTCCTCCCACACCCGCTGTTTTGCTTCCCTCACAGGTGCGGCTGCAGTCCTTCGGGCCTGTCGGTACCCTGCAACTGCCTTGGGAGCCCCCCGGGATAACATATCCCGGAAGGCCTCCTTCTTGGACGGATTCCCTGACCGCCATTGTCCACTACCGTGTTCGAGGGTTACCGCCCCTTGAGGCACCCAAGACCTTAAGACCACAGCTCACAGCCGCAGCTTCAGCAATAGAGGCTTTGAACACCAACCACTGCAGTTTGATGTCCCCCGCCTCCACAGGAATGCAGGAGAAGCTCCGCTGGAGGTGGGAGTTGAAGGTCTCCCGGACAGGGGCCTCCTCCAGATGTTCCCAGTTCACCCGTACTACACGTTTGGGTTTACCAGGTCTGTCCAGTGGCTTCCCCCGTCACCTCAACCAACTCATCACCAGATGGTGATCAGTTGACAGCTCCGCCCCTCTCTTTACCCGAGTGTCCAATACATGCGGCCTCAGGTCTGATGATGAAGGTGCTCTGGTACCACGTACACTTCCCATCCCTATGTAGGAACATGGTGTTCGTTATGGACAATCCATGACTAGCACAGAAGTCCAGCAACAAAACACCACTATGGTTCAAATCGGGGAGGCTGTTCCTCCCAATCACGCCCCTCCAAGTATCTCCATCATTGCCCACATGTGCGTTGAAGTCTCCCAGGAGCACGATGGAGTCCCCTACTGGAGCCCTATACAGGACTTCATTCAGGGTCTCCAAGAAGGCCGAATATTCTGCACTGCTGTTTGGTGCATAAGCACAAACAACAGTCATAGTTCCACCCCCCACAGATCGTAGGTGTAGGGAGGCGACCCTCTCGTCCACCGGGGTGAACTCCAATGTAGCGGCGCTCAGCCGGGGGCTAGTTAGTATCCCCACACCAGCCCGGCGCACCAGCCCGGCACCTCACACCTTGAGCATTATTATTATTATTATTATTATTATTATTATTATTATTAATTCAGCTGGAACTTTCAGTGTGCCTTCACACTTCACTAACCCTGCAATAGAACTGGTCCGCCAGTGCCTACATTGATATTTTTGTTTATTGTGATGTAATTTCTTTAAGTATCTTGATCTTTAATTTTTACTTTCATTTTCTAGCTACTCTTCTCCACCAGCAGCAATCAGCTGATGCCACCGCAAATCACCCATAGCGCACAATGTGATGATGTTACAGACCGAAGCTTTAGCTTTCTGCTGCAAAAAGAATGAGTGTTCTAGCTATTATAGTTTTCGGAAGGTCTGCTTTCAGAAGGTTAAAGGGGTTTGGTGTTTCACTTCCATGAAGGGGACTTGAAAGAGAATGAAGCAGAGCAGCAGAGCAGCAGAGGGCAAGATATTCTGACATAATGGATAACATGAGTGCTCCTTTTGTAAAAAGTCACTAGAAGAAGTTGTCTTGTGGTAACAAACTAAATTAATCTGGAGAAGGTCTGACAAAAGTCCGGTGTTTGAATTTGTGAGAAGTCTAAGTTTCATTGTTATTATCCTGGCTTTCAGTTGAGAGATAGAGTGTATTATGAACAGAATAATAAGGTGAGGTGTCTTTTATCTTTCCTGTGTATTGGAGCTGTGCGGTGCGTTTGTAGTGGCATTTGGAGAGTTCCAGATGATACACTCCAACTTCGCCTCTCTCATCACCAGCTTCTGGCCCATCTACCCCGCCAACACTCTGGTGGTCACCGGCACCATTGTTACCTGTGTGTGCTACCTGGGAGTGTTAGGAGGCATGAGGGAGAACCGCTGCATGCTCATTACTGTGAGTATGAAGCATGATATTAAACATGATTTGCAGGGTTAAATAGCTTCATTATTCTAAAAACTACCGCCTGTCCTATGCTTTTAATGAGTTTGCAGTTTATTTGTAATGCATCAGAATGCAGCTCATGTTAATAAGACTGAAACACTATTTTATCTGACTCAATTATAAATAGCAAACTACAGTACAGATTTATACAAACTCACTCCGGTTTGAATCTGATCTGATTCCAGTTTTTCGTCCTGCTCTTCATCCTGATGCTGGTGGAGCTGGCCATGGCCTGTGTGTTCCTGGTCTACAGCAGAAAGGTAGGAGAGTTTATATGTAGCCTGTACAATACATTTATAAAAGGTGTTGATTCCAAGGAATCAAAGAATGATCATTATCAGCACAAGCTTGTACAGCAAAATGAAAGTTTGCAGTTCCTTCATGGTACATGCATAGAATAACAGATCATTAAATTTCTATTGGATTCACATAAAAAAAAATAAACCAATATATACAGTTATTAATATAAATATGTACATATACATATACACATATACCCAGGAAATTACTCTGCAGTGTATCTTTTGAATTTGCCCTGACATAAAAATAAAACAGTGTCTATCTACTTTCACTGCGTTTGAGCACTAAGCATCATCAGTGCCCCTTCCTCTCGTCCTGCACTCTATCTGCTCGCTACGATCAGCCCGTTGAGCGCTTGATCCAGGATGTTGATGGAGCAGGTCTCTGTAAAGATGTGGGCACAAGAGTCTCTGATTTCCCGTCCCATTCCGTCCAGACCGGACATTAGCCAGCAGCAGCCTTAAGTCCAAGCTGGTCCAGTATGGCTCCTATCCGACTCTCTTCCTCTCCTCTTGCCTGAAATGGAGAGCTGGTCCTACTGATCTGGTTGGGTGGATCATCTAAAGATCCACTGTTCTTTAATCCAAACTCCATGCTGCAGACTATTTCTGTCAAAGATAATACGTGTTTTAGCAAAAAACCTGAAAATAAATTTGAAAAAAAGTTGAATGTGCAGCTGTTGTCATAGTCAGAATCTTCGGATCCAGTTTATTTGAATCTGACTTAGTGCTTAAAAACCAATTAGACATAATTTAATTATGTTTCAGCAATAAAGCTTAAGTAAGTATATGCCAGGTAATATACTTGCGCAGCTGTTGCCAGAGATTGTATTGATATGGCACTCCATTGGAAACATTTTCACCTGAAACAACTTGGATTCCAGAATTTTCCAAATAAACTTCTGTCGAATTGTAATGAGGTGCATGATATCAGTAGCTGATGACTGGTAGAGGGACACCCAACTTGTATCACCAGCTTTGGTCTTTCCACTAGCACATACTGCTATAAAAGCAAGGTTAATGTTTTTAATGTCCAGTAGGCAGCAGTATGTAACATACCTATCTGTTGTGCAGATTGACACATACTTTGAGAAAGACTTGATGCAAAGCTTGGAGACCTACAAACAGTCCAGTCCAGAAGGCAACAAGACCCTTAAAGATGACTTTGATGCTGTCCAGCACCTGGTAAACGATCCACTGCTGCTTACAATGAACACCAGAGCTATTTGTCTTTCTAACAGTTCCATGTTAATATTTTCATTTTATCTTGAATATGTTTTACTGCTGATATTTAACACACCCTTGTGTATATTAAAGTAGTTGTCATTCATTTTCCCCTGCTTTTTTCCCCTTACAGTTCCAGTGCTGTGGAGTTCATGGTGTGGCAGACTGGAGAGGTAACATCCCATTATCCTGTTGTACCAAGGACCCCTGTAACATCCTCCCCCAATCCAACTGGCAAGAGGTTATTATACTGTATTATCACTGTATATACACCTGGTTCTCAAAAGAATCCCCAAATGCACACACACAATACATTTTGTTTACAGTTAAATAAGCAAAGGTTAGTTAGTATACAGCTTATTATACAGGGTTTGGGTTGTTACTCAAAAAAAGTAATGTATTACACATTACTCATTATGTTTTTTCGAAAGCTAATGCATTACTTTACTTAATTACTCCCTGTTGGAAGTCAGAATCAGAATCAGAATTAGGTTTATTGCCAAGTAAGTTTTTACACATACGAGGAATTTGTCTTGGTGCATTGGTGCATAAAATATAAAAATCACACAAAAATAGGGTACTTTTAAAATAGAAATAAATAACAATAAGAAAACTGTACAGGAAACGGGAGTGCATTAATGTAATGTGTGTGTGTGTGTGTGTGTGTGTGTGTGTGTGTGTGTATGTATATATATATATATATATATATATATATATATATATACAAATTTTGTCTTTCAGGGTTGTCTCGTGAAAGTGAGGGACTGGTTTGCCAGAAACTATCTTAGCACAGGTGCAGGTGTTGTCACAATGTTTATCATACAGGTACAGTACATTCAGCCTTCTTGTGGTCCTTATTATGAGGCTCTTGCAGGTGTTGTCCTTTAGCTATTAGACCAGACCAGACATACTTTAAAATGTAAAGGTCCAGTGTGTAACATTTAAGAGGCTCTATTGTCAAAAATTGTATCTACAGAGGGAGCAGGTCCTCTTCTACAGAGTCCGCCATGTTGAACCACCATGTTTCTACAGTAGTCCAGAACGGATAAACCGAACACTGGCTCGAGATAGGGCCTTTCCCATTTTTCGCAAGTTTGGCAGCCACCATACTTTCACCTACATGCTTGAAAGGCTAAGCTGTATTCAATTGGTTGCAATCTTCCATTTAACTGTTAGATGCTACTAAATCCTACACACTGGTACTTAAAACTGACAGAGAGCAGTGGAGCTGCAGGTTACTGCTCTGAGATTCAGTACTGAATTGTTGATGTAGTAACAATGGTTGCCATTTTGGAGTCTGTGAGTTTTATACAGCAACAGAATGAAACTGCTTTTGGCTGTCTCAACAGTTAAATAGGCATGGTTAATTTAAGTTCTGTTTGTGGACTGGAACGCTTAATATTAAGCCAGCTAGCTAAGCACTACTAGCCATCATTGCCTTTTGGTCTACTTTGAGGCAGTGGAACAAGCTGCAAACAATGGCATATTATCACCATATAAAGTTGATATGGCAAATTTGTTAGCAAACAGTTAATCTCCTTTTAGCTCTGGTTTTGGTCCCCACCAACCCCTGAGAAAATATCTCTTAAATGTCTCTTTGCCTGCTAAATGTTCCACTATGTTCTCTATGTTAACTTTGCTGTTTTGTGATGATAGGTTTCTCAAAGCTTTTTGTCCAATAATGTTGATTAGAGCAGTTAGAGTGAATCAAAGCAGAACGTTTTGTTGTGTAAAATCAAAATAGTCAGCTGCAAGGAGCTAAAATATTCTGTATAAATGAGGGGAACTGCCAGATGTTGGGTAATAATCCTCTATGGGTTTGTCAGTACACAAATCCTTTAACATAAGTCGATTAATTGGTAATATAAAATATTGATAAGAGCAGTTTTGAGATGTCAGATTTGCAGAGCATTTGTTTAGCTTATCTGTAGTTTAAAGCCAGAACAATGTACATTATATTCTCTGTCAGTTTCCTGTTCCTGCTTTTATACATTATGTTCTTTTGTGTCTTGGAGAAACAGTGTTTATCATTGGTGAAACTATATTTTTCTTGTCTTCTTTGTTTACAGTTTATTTGTCTGTCTATCACCATCCCTCTCTTTTGCCACTTCAGTCGACATGGACTGGGTTACCAGTGAAAAAGGGACAAGAAAACTGCACTTGCAACTTACAGCGACTTTCCACATTCCAACAGGACAGATTGCTTTTATCTGTATGAACTTCTTATGAATATGTTCCGAAAACCAGAAAGGTGCCATTTCCGGCCATCAAAAAGGGAGACAAAAGCCTGAGCTGAGGATTGCATCAGGTGACCAATAGGAAACATTTAGTTGGTAGGACACAAACTAATACAATAAATTCAACTTAGACCTTTAGAAACTAAAATAAATAAAGCCTACAGGATTTTGCCTATTATCATTAGCAAACCCCCTAATCAATTTTTTTGTTTTCAATCATTTTCTTCCTGTTACATGATTTGATTTTGTGATTGCACTTGTTTTGGGCATCAAGGACTTATACTCTTTTACTTTTCTTAATAAACCCACCCACATTTGAGTTGTTTTCATTTGTGAATTGCTTTTTCTTTGTATTGAGCCCATGGTCTCTTTGAGACGGGGTTCAATACACAGAAAAAACTTGAACCACAGGTCACTGTAATGTTCTCTCATATGAAAAATGAAAACTCTGTCGAATGAACTTAAACTGTGTGTTTGTAACACCATTTAATTGTCCACAGACCATTGACAGTATATAAATAGTGGACAGAGCTTCCGGGTCTGTAAAGTGAAGTCAACCCAGAATGTCTTAAACCTGCATTCTTTCAAATAGCCTGTGGGACGCTGCTCTGTGGGTTGCAAAAAAGTCAAATATAACTGAGTATTAAGAAAATTGAGGCTACTTCTCACTTGATTTACTAGCTTAGTAAATCGTTGCCTAATGAGTTTATGGTCTCAATCGCCTAAAGTCTTCTTCCATGCAGCATGACTTTCATTTTGTGAATTATGGTCACATTTAGTGTAATTAATTATGGCTGATTTCTGACACTGTGGGACACATGTTTTAAGAATACTCATGACATAATTTTTTAATCAGTTACATGCAAAGACTGTGTTATGAAAAATTTAAGTAGTCTCCGTGATGTCACCCACAGTTTCTGCAGAGCCATTGTGAAGCTCAGTGTGGTCGGCTCTGGCCGTCTCCATCTTGGCATTTACCATTCCAACCATAAAAAATACAGTTGAAAAGAGATATCATTTCTCCAAGACAAAAACATGAACTTCTAAGAATGGCTGGATCAAAACCAAGATCAGATTTGGAAAAATGTATGCTCATCAGCTAGAAATGGGAAGACTGCTTTTGTCTACCCCTTGACCCGTTGTTTAAAAAATTTAGAATTTTCATGGTAAATCTGTGACAGTTATGATTGCATATGTGCTGTAAAATGAAAGCTTATCCCAAAACCCATCACAAACAAATGTCCTTTTACGAACATTACTGTAGCTGTATTACACAGGCATATACTGTAACTAAACGTATCACATGGGATCAAATAAGATGATATGTGTGGGTGGGCAATGCTGAAGCTATGTGCATAATGGGAGTAGTCTACTGACAATGTTAGCTAATCTCCCTTAAAATCCTCAAAATTCAAAATTGATGTTAAGTTTTTATCACAAATGCCTTGTGCTATACATCACCTATACTCCAGTCTGGCCCAACAATGACACAAAAGTCATTTTATAGGTATTTTCAGGTATTCTTAGTGGCATTCCTGATGACTCATCCTCCACTCAGGGGCGTATACTAATGTTGTGTCCAGTGAAATGCTTTCGCTCTTACGACACCACCAGAGTGGAGCGTTTCTCAGGGCTAATGTATTACAGACATCTATGGCTGGGCCTCACTATTACTGTACAAAAGCACAGCTTTATTGTATGGGTATAATGTTATGGTACCAAGGTTATTTACACAGTTTCCTGATAGACAAATAATAACTGTATCTGCCATTTACGGGTAACAGAACCAGGATCAGCAGCTGGACGGGGGTCGAACACAGCCAGTGATACCAACAGGGAATATTGTTACAGTACCGCGGTCTGCAACAAATTCCTCCCTGGCTGCCTGTTTGTACAGGAAACACATAAATATGAGGAAGCAAATAACACTCTGCTTTATGTTTCATGTGGATTTAAGGCAGAATGAGTAGAATTTGACTCTCACACCCTCTGCGCTGTTATTGGCTGAGGGCTACAAACCCACTGGCGCCCAATAATGTCACAAACACTGCAAAATATGTAAAGATCAGGCAGAGAACAGGGTCTCTGCAGATACAGACAGTAGTAGTGTAGTGTAGTGTGTGTCGAGTGAGAGGGATTATTCTTGTATGAGTCTATTGTTTTTTGGGAATAACCTACTCATTTTTCCTTTAAGGTCAGTCATTGCGGAAAACGGCATACTATGTGCTGTAGAATGGAAAAAAATTTGTGTAGCAACAGTAACTAAGGAAAACTGAAACTGAATCATTTGAAGTGGCTACCAGAATTTGGAACACATTTAAATAAAATTAAGCTTAATGTTACTTGATTAACTCAAGTAAGCTTACAGGTAACTGCTAGATAGTTGTTTACAAATAAAAATGAATTATACTTCCTCTACAAAGATGAAAGATGCAAGGACTTCAACGCCACATCGAATCAAAACCTCAGGTAGGCTATTTGAAAAGTTAGTTATAGCTAAACTAGTTGGCATAACCAGCAGCCTGTTTTAAGGCTTAAGTTTAAAGGACCAGTATGTAGATTTAGTGGCATCTAGCGGTGTAGTTGCAGATTGCAACTCCCTCGCTTTACCCTCCCTTGCCCCTCTATACAGCCAGTGTTTGGTTTGTCTGGATGTGATTGGACTGTTGGATGTCAAATCAGTAGGGGGTGACAAAAAAAGTAATGCAATTATGTTTTGGGGGGTAATATTATTACTGAAATGTATTAGCAATTAGTAACACTACTATAGTTAGTAGGGAAGGTACGTTAATAGTATAGTATAGTAACGTACCGGAACCCTAACGCGAACGATTTTCATGCTAATATTCGATATGAATTCCCTTTAACTACTAAGTTACTACTACTTAAATGATCATGTAATGGTTTCGGTTGATTTTAAGGTGCTAAAGTAAAGACGAACTTCTTACCTTTCTAACCGTGTATCGTTTTAAACATTTACTTTTGCTCGGTCTTTACTAGAGTCGGTAAAAGGATGCTAACACCGGTGATTTAGCCGTGAGCTGCCGGTGTCCCGAGTCGAGCGGCAGCGTCCGCCCGCTGTAAACATTGAACACTGCCGGTGTTATGGGGGTATTAAGTTGTTCCTGAGACTGACAAACTAACATCAACTCATCTGGGATCGTACTTTCCTCCTTCAAAATAAGATACAATGCTTTAACAAGTAACAACTCTAATTTATGCAGTTAACGTTATACCGCTATACCGCCACCTACTGGATATTTTGTTAAACACTTCTCATTTAAAATACAAGCTGATGCATTTAATTTAGCAATTACAGACACATATGCTGTATGCTCATATAACAATTACCTGTAATAGACTCAGTGCAGAGTTAGTATGTAGCATAATATAACAAATAAATGTTCATGCATACAATTATATTATTTAATCAAAAGACAAATGATATGACATGAAAAATATTTTACTAAATTGAAAAACAGCAATATTTACAATATATACAATATTTACAATATATACAAACAAATAGACAACAGATAATCAAATTAAAAACAAATTAAATAACAAACTTATCGAACAAATTAAGGCACCAAAAACACCAAAATTCATCTTTGTCCAGCTCCTCCCAGCCGACACAAATGGTGTGAAACCATTTGGCACATTTGTTGCACTGGACCCACGGCACCAATCCCTCCGAGCAGACACCCGGAGGGTCAGGTTCCCTGCACTGGTCACACAGATCTTCCATGGTGGTGGTGTGACCTACTCCTAGAAAAAATATATTTAAGAACATGTTTTGAATATCATGGGATGGCACACAAAGACTTAATGTTAAATACAATACCAGTGGATGCCGTGGGTCCAGCAGACAGCTGGGAGGAGCTGGACAATGGCGCAGCTGTCTGTCTGCAGGCTGTATAAACAAGATGACATGTGTTGTTTACTCATCATCATCCCTAATATCACCAGCATCTTAGGACATTGCTTGTTTTTATCAATGATATAAAGCATTTACATTGGGAGGGAGAGGAAGACAATCTGGACCCTCGGAGGCCGAAGGCAGATGTTGATGGCTCTAAAAGAAAAATCATATTTTAGTATTACAACAAAATTATTTCCCAAAGCTGTATTAAAATTGCAGAGGAAATAATAAAAAAAACATGTGCTTTACCATCCAGTAGCCAGCCAGGAGCAGGCAGGCTAGGTGGGGATGTTCCGCTAGGGGCAGGCAGCTGGTGACCGTGGGAGGCACTAGAGGGGGCCGAGCGGGTTGAGGGACCGGCGATGGAAAGGCCGGAGCTGGAGGCCGAGGCAGCCCAGGGGGATGCTGTTCTGCGGCTGGGACGGGAGCCACCAGGCAGGGTAGAGGAAGTGGCGGTAGGGCCGTTGTTTTCAGCCCGCCGCTGCTCTGTGGCCAGAGCTTGGGCCTCCCGCCTTATAGCACGGCCCTCCGCCTCCTCGATGGCATCAGACATCTCCTGAGCCGTCAGTATCCTGGCCTTGGTGGTATTCCTCCTGACCTTGGTGGTATTATAACGCACCTCGGGCAGGAGGTGGGCCAGGTCTACTGAGATCCTGCCTGATGTTACCAGGGGATGGGTAGAGTAGGGATTGGGTGGACAAGGGACAGGGGGTGGACAAGGGACAGGGGGTAAACTAGGGACAGGGGGTGGACTCTGGTGTGCGGGGGGGGCATGGCCCAGGAAGATGCTGATGGGGTTGGCGGAGGTGGCAAGGAGGTCCCACGCCGCGGTCCGGATGGCATGACCCGTGACCAATCAATGGCTTCCGGGTCCAGAGGGTGTTCAGCCTTCCTGATACCCAGCCACCACGACCCCTGATCCTTCACCCTCTGTGTGAGACCAAGAAGGACCCTTGAAAGCTCATTACCAACAGATCTCCTGTAATTCCAGAGAAATCTGCCTTCAAGGGTCCAAAGAAACTCATATCCAGAGGCTGCAGGATGTGAGATGTGTGTGGTGGAAGGCACAGGAGAATGACCTCCTCCCTCTGTGCCACCCGGACCAGCTCTGGATCCAGGTGGGATTTGTGCCCATCAAAAACAAGCAGCAGCGGGCGCTCCTGCGCGGCGAACTTCAGGAAATGCCCGACAAACCACTTCCTGAACAGCTCACTGTCCATGTACCCGGCCGGTGACTTCCCGTAGAGGGCGTCGGGGACCCCCCCTTTGTTATAGGGCCCCCCGGGATATCCCCCCTTGTAAATTATGAAAGGGGGGATATCCTCCCCAGCCACGTTGAGGCAGGCCAGGACGGTGACGTGGTCCCTGGTCCCCTGGGCCTGCCTGTAAGCATGTTTTGTCCCCCGGGGCACGAGGACCTTTCTTCTCGACGAGTCCAGCTGAAACCCCGTCTCATCGCAGTTATAGACTTGACGGGGTTTCTCCCTCAACCCATGCTCCTCCATGGTGGTAGTGAGGAGCCTGAAGTAATCTTCAATCGGCCCCCTCTTGGCACAGGATGCCCTCCCACGGTCAATATTGTCTGGGGTCCGAGAAGTGAAGCCCTGGCCTTGCCTCCTGCGGAAGTTGAGCCACCACGTCTGGCCCAACTTCCCCCTTCTCTCTTCTGGACAGCGCTGATTGTATATCGCTGTCGCAAAAGACTGAACCTGAGGCTTTGTCAGTGGAAACCCATGACTGGCAGAGTAAAGGCAGTACTCCACCAGGGAATCTTCATCTGCAGGGGTGAGACCGTGCCTCTGTTGTGTCCAGACCGTGCACACAGTCAGAGGCCACCCTTCCACTGACTCGGTCACTCAGGCTCGTTTTTGGGACCCCAAACTGTTTGGCTGCCTGCCCCAGACTCAGCCTGCCTGCTTTCACCTCCTGGATGGCCTCTCCCATGGCCTCCGGGGGTCCACTTCCTCGTCTTCCTCTCCCTCTGGGGCAGCTGTCTGATGTTAGGCATCTAAAAGAGGCATATTATTTCAGAAATTACAGTAACATTTTTATAGGTATTTCATTTCATGTTGCATCAACAAGCACAAATGTATTTATCACATGCTTACTCACAAATATACTTACCTTAAACCAAAGTATTGTTTTTAACCATCTTGATGCACCTGTGAAGGAATAAAAGCAAATCTCTCTCTCACACACCCACACCCCTTGCCTACCTTATGTCTCTCTCTCTCGTATTCTCTCTCTCTTTCTCTCTCTTGTCTTCTCTCTCTTTCTCTCACTTCCCCTCTCTCTCTCACTTCTTCTCTCTCTTTCTCTCTTGTCTCTTCTCTCTCTCGTCTTCTCTTTCTCACTTCTTCTCTCTTGTCTTCTCTCTCTTTCTCTCACTCGTCTTCTCTTTCTCTCTTGTCTCTTCTCTCTTTCTCTCACTCGTCTTCTCTTTCTCTCTTGTCTCTTCTCTCTCTCTCACTTCTTCCCTCTCTTTCTCTCTCTTGTCTTCTCTCTCGTCTTCTCTCTCTTTCTCTCGCTCTTCTTCTCTCTTGTCTTCTCTCTCTTTCTCACTTCTTCTCTCTTGTCTCTTCTCTCTTTCTCTCTTGTCTCTTCTCTCTTTCTCTCTCTCTCACTTCTTCTCTCTCTTTCTCTCACTCGTCTTCTCTTTCTCACTTCTTCTCTCTTGTCTCTTCTCTCTTTCTCTCACTCGTCTTCTCTTTCTCTCTTGTCTCTTCTCTCTCTCTCTTGTCTTCTCTCTCTTTCTCTCACTCATCTTCTCTTCTCTCACTTCTTCTCTCTCGTCTCTTCTCTCTCTCTCACTCACTCGTCTTCTCTTTCTCTCTCTCTCTTCTTCTCTCTCTTTCTCTCTCTCTGTTGTCTCTGTTCTCAGACAGAAACACAAGAGCAAAATTGAGTTTCAACAATCCTGTTTTTATACATAAGGAGGTGTATCTATATAACCAATATTTTCTATCATAAAAGCCTCTACTGGCTTTCAACACATCTCTCACACCCCTCCCTCTCTCTTACTCACACGCACACACCAATAATATATAAATTATTACAAGATGACACCATGATAAAAAATATACTTTATTTATTTTAGCTTATAAACAAGAAAATACATCTGAATAGCTAATTTGAACCTTATTTTTGCATTAAATCTTCATGTGTACTGTGATACTTCACAGTTTAAAAAAACAATGCTGCGCTTGCTCTGTTCCTTTGTTCTTCTTTCCCGCGTCTGTAACTTTTTCAATTTCAATAAAAAAAACTTGGCCTCCGCCCACCTCGACCACAGATTGTATAAACACAATATCCGACATTTTCATTAGCTAGACTAATCAGTGTAAACCTAGCTACGATATGTACCCATATGAGAGCTTATTTAAGCTGTTAAGTGAAAATAGAAACAGACTTTTAAAGATTGTCGCCCAAGCGTGTTCCGGCGGCTTCCCCTCATTAAAGTAACTTTCATATAATAATTATACATGTAAATGTTGATGTATATTTATGAAAAACCACATATAGACTCTGTAAAATGTAGAAATTCCTTGGACTTACGTTAGATGGCGATCGTGTGCCTGGAAGTACCGCGAAAAGACCGGAAACTGCATCAAGCCGGAAGTCGTTCGGGTCACGACGCCGGCAAAATCAGCGTTCGGGTCTGGGTTCCGGTACGTTATATAGATATTATTACTATTAATGAGGTACTGCCCAATACTTCTTCTGGGCTACTGTAGAAACATGGTGGTTCAACATGGCAGACTCCATGGAAGGCAACCCGCTGCACCAGTAACGTTAGATAAAAACGTCTCATTCTAACAAAAACAAAAACATATTCAGATGATTATACACTAATGAAAACATAATTATGAATATTACATATATTATTCATATATTAAATATATATATATATATGTAACCTGTTTAACAGACACCTGCACATGAATAACAGCCTGCATTATAGAGATGTGCAGATCGCAGTTAATCTGCAGCACTGAGATCGATCTGACAGCCGGGTTATTAAATTGATGATAACATTGTGATTGATAATGGATGGATTGAGGGTGGCTGAATTAGTGTGAGGTTTCTCCTCATTAAGCGAGACGGTGTGCGCATTTACGTACAAGGCACAGCAGCTTCATTGATTATTTAAATCGTTGACGCGATCTAATGTTAATAAATGTTATTTATTGTGGTTTTTTACACCTCCAGAAGTTCCCACACACAGTTCAGGTTCATGCAGGGAAATTGTTCAGAGTAAAACAGCCCTCCTCCTGATAAATCCTCTGTTTCCTCTGGAGAGTTTCTCTGTCAACAGTTTTTACATTTTGGTGTTTAATGATATTTGCTGCAGTGACATTACTGCGCCCGTGGAAACGTCCAAAATGACTGAAAGCTTCCTCTCTCATTATTACAGTAAATTAAGAAAACACTTAAAGCCTGCATCAATACAAGACAAAATAAATATAGAAATCACCTTTAACCTTGTGCTGCTCCGCAGAAGCGGCACAGGAATAACTTCTACTGGCTATTCATAGGTATGTTTTCATTAGTGTATAATATTAGAATTATTGTCTTTTTGTTACTTTAGAATGAGCTGTTTTTATCATGGATGTATAAAGAGAACTGGTTACAGTTTTGGCAATGCTACTTTTGTTCAAATATGTTTAATGTTTTGGTAAAAATGTTTTGAATTATAGTTCAGCTCGTGCCCAAACTTGAAACCGGCCATACTTCCAACACATTGTAAGTCTGCTTCAATTTGTTCTTTCTTTGAAAGCTGCTCATTGTTGCATAAAGCCAAAAAAGTCACTCCCTGCTGCAAAAAAATTACCCAGATGTATGTATGTACATGTACTGTAACCTTATATGTGAGTTACAATCCACCACTGTGTCTAACCTTGTGTGGGTGGGCACACCGGGTTGGTGGGCAATGCTTTAGCTACGAGCATATACTGTATATGTTAAATGTTAATAATCTTACAGTCATTGCAGAAAATATATGGCACTAGTGTTTAAGTATAAAACTGCCATAAATAATGTCCACCATACAGTCACACAGTCTGCCTGGTTGGGAGGTTTATTGGGGGATCAAGGGATAAGCTTTATGAATACACTGCTAAATACATCTCTAAAAGTCTCAGTAGAGCTCCCTTTTCACTTCCAGAGACACAGACTGAAGCACAGGACAGTGCAGCAAAACAGGTCTTGGACAGCCATGATGAACGACAAAAGCCACTGTCCAAGCCTGGACTATCTCTGGAGGTATAGTTTGCTGTCTTTAGCAAGACATTCATCCACACTAGCACCATGTTATACATGTTGATGGTTGTTTTTTAATTTTTTTTATTGGCATTTGTCATTTCTAAATGAGGATGATACATTTATTCTGCTTTTATTTTCAGAAAAAAAATGAACTTGAGAAACAGAGAAGGCATGTCCTGATCAATGAACACAACAGACTAACGTTTGCTGTGAAGGAAAAAGAAGCTAAGCTGAAAGAACTGCAGGAGTTTTTGGAAGCAAAGAACCTTGCACCTACAACTTACAATAGCGAAGACACATTAAAGCAGGTAAGGGTCCACCCAGGGACATTTAGGATGCATCCAAAGTCACCACCTCCCAAAACAACAGTAACATTAACTCCAGTATAAAATACTTAAATCTGCATTCATTGTCTTTTTCCCACTTGTGGGGCAGCATTTGACATATGAAATATCATGACACCTTTCACTCTACACATAACCATTTGATCCATCATTAAAGTTTAACTAGACTCCTAAATTGAGCTAGTTCCCTCCCTCCTTCCCCACATTTTTTTTTTTTAAATCCAGCAGAGAAAATCAAATAGAGGGGGTGTCTTTGTGGCTATGGAGTGTGTGATGCAGGAGGTAATGCCAACCTGTCTGACTACTGCTCAGTGAAGCAAGAGTACAGCTGCCAGTAGTCAGAGTTACCAGATCTAACCAGCCATGAGCAGCTGCTATCAGACTCTCTATGTCTGTGCTGGAAACACAGAGAGTCTGCTGGAGCTTTGTCAGTCACCAGAGGTCATTTGTAAATGTTTCTGTGTGGTACCTGTGTTGTAACATTAGCTAAAATATTCTAGAGGTTTTCCAATCCGGTTTTAAAACCGTGCACAGCACAGAATCAGCTCTCTTAAGAGTTTTTAATGATATCTTTTTAGCTACTGACTCTGGTGACTGTGTTATCCTTGTGCTTTTAGATTTAACTGCTGCATTTGACACAGTGGATCATGAAATACTGATCTCACGTTTGAAGCAGTGGGTGGGCATCAGGGGCATAGCACTGGAGTGGTTCAGGTCGTACTTGGCTGATCGAACTTTCTGTGTCAGCCTAGGTGACTCTGTATCCTCCTCTGCTCTTCTCTCGTGCGGGGTCCCACAGGGCTCAGTTCTTGGCCCTCTCCTTTTCTCTCTCTATTTGCTCCCACTTGGTTCCATACTTAGGAAGCACGGCTTTTCATTCCACTGTTATGCAGACGACAGTCAGATTTATGTGCCTCTTAAAAAGAAAAATGAATACTCTGTCAGACTGCTACTTAAGTGCCTTGACGACATAAAGGCCTGGATAACTTCTTAAATTTCAATGATAAAAAGACAGAAGTGATGGTTTTTGGTGGCACCACAGGGATCCCCCCTGTAGATCTGGGTTCCTTGGCCCAGTATATTAAACCTAGCATCACAAACCTAGGGGTTAAGGTGGACCCTGAGCTTAAGTTTGACAGTCAGATCAAGGCTGTTGTCAAATCAAGCTTTTTCCATTTGAGGCAGCTGGCCAAAATAAAGCCAATTCTATCAAGGCAGCACTTTGAGACGGTAATCCACGCCTTTGTTACCACTCGGCTGGATTACTGTAATGCACTATATGTGGGGGTTAGTGGGTCCTCCATCGCCCGTCTTCAGATGGTACAGAATGCTGCTGCACGTCTTTTAACTGGCACATGTAAACATGAGCACATTTCCCCCATTTTAGCCTCACTCCACTGGCTGCCTATTCAATTTAGGATCCATTTTAAAATTCTTTTATTTGCTTTTAAATCCCTAAATGGTCTTGCCCCGCCCTACCTCTCTGAGCTTCTACACCCCTATATACCCGTCCACCCCCTCAGGTCAGATGATTAGCTGCTCCTGAGTGTGCCTAAAACTAAGCGGAAGCTCAGAGGGGACCGTGCCTTTGCTGTGTCTGCTCCTAAATTATGGAATGATCTGCCTCTGCACATTAAACAGGCCTCTTCTCTGTCTGTTTTTAAAACCAGTCTTAAAACCCATCTATTCTCTGTGGCCTTTGACACCTAGTAAGATGTCGACTTTATTTACTTGATTTATTTATTTTTTTGTATTTTTTTTTTGTATTTTTTGATTGCTTGTTATTGCATGGTTATTATTTTTATTTATGTCTTTTCATTTTATTGTTGTATTATATGTTATTTTGCGCCTCATGTGAGCTGTTATGTCTTTTATTTATGATGTCTTATTTATTCTCCTGTACAGCACTTTGGTCAACTTTGGTTGTTTTAAAGTGCTTAACAAATAAAGTTGGATTGGATTGGAAACTAGCGGCTCAGAGAAGTGTAAGGCTATGGCTACGTTTGTGATGAAGCTGCCACCACATACATCACCTGCTTCCAGATCAGCCAATAGAGAAATTCTATCACAATAGCTGGGTTTCAACCAGTAGAGGGAGGTCACTGCATATTTATAGCACAATATGTAGAATTCAAATACTTTGCACTAAAATGTCAACATTTGGACCTGAATCAATCAACACACTAATAAATGCAGAATCAGCAGAAAAAGGGTGTTTTCAGGGTTTGCATCAACTATAATGTACACAATATGAAGAGGTTACTCATGTAATTAACTAATCTCACCTGTCAAGTGTCAAATGCATTTTTTGACATACCTGCGCGGGCACCTGTCCAGGCCCACACTCACACATTTATGTTCCCATACCAACAAATCACTGAGGTCAGGACTGATTTGTCAATGGATCTGTAAAATAGCACCAGAATCAGCTTTCTGCCAGCATTAACAATACTTTTTGTTGACCTTTCAAAGTGCAATTTCTTCAGTTAAAGTGCCAAAGTACCCTTAGTTCTTCACAGTGGTATTCCTTTCTGACACACTAGATGCCAGTTAAAGGACATTTGGAAAAAGATGGGGCATATTATGCAGTAAAATAAATTCTGCCCACTGTGGAACCCCTTGAACTGTTGACCTCCTAGTTTGTCTGAAAAAAAAAATGGGCCAGCTACTCATATCTCTGGGAACATCAGCTCTAGTGTCAATTCTTACTTCATGGACAAGGACAGCTAATGCTGAATGCGTTCATTCACATTTCAAGTTTAAGCATATATTATCCTACTATGGCATCATTAATCACAGGCCATAACCTTTTTCTTTATTTTCTGATGTTAGCGTATAAGACAACTGGAGAACAACCTTGACAAGATGAAGATAAAGATCATAGAGGCGAGGAAAATCCAGACTGTCTATCAGCACATTCGTGAGCACCTGCAGGAGGTGAGCTGTGCTGTTTTACATACACTCAACCACTATATGACTTTATTAATACTGATGCTTTATCAATACATACTGATTGACCATTATTTTTTACTTTTGGCAGATGTCTCAAAATTCTATTGTTGCTCAAGTACACTAAACTGAAATAAGATTGCATTAGAGTTAACAGGAATAAAAAATACATGTAAATTATCTCAACTATCATTCAGAATTCAGAGTAAAAAAATTTTACATGACTGAAGGAAAAATGTTTCACCCCGTCATTCATGGAAAATACAAGAAACAAATGAGCTTGGTTGCAGTACAATGCATTTTTTGCAGCTGCTGCAGTGTCACACCTGTTACAGTTAACATTTATGCATGTTAATTGTATTTTTGCTGTATTTTTAATCATTTGCAGAAATGAACCAACACACCAAAGTGTTTAAACCTGTCAATACACTAGGGGCTGTTAACAAGCTGCTAACTTTCAGTTTAGCCCTCCGAAAACTTGAATGAGAATAAAATGATTTAATCATACTCTCTTCTAGACTTTCCAGATGTTATCAGACTGAATTGATCAGTCGGGGACGGCTGTGGTGCAGACGCAGAGTGGGTCGTCCCCTAGTACTAATGTTGTGCATCGGTGCGTGAATGTGTATGAATGCGTTAGTTTCTGTTGGTGGACTTTGCCATCACTGGGTGAATGTGTGTGAAAGGGTGAATGTGGCACGTAGTGTAAAAGAGCTTTGAGTGGTTGGAAGACTAGTCTATACAAGTACAGGTCCATTTACCATTTACCATCAAATTCTCATAGTAAAATGAGGGATTTTGCCAGGGTGTTGATGTTCAATCACACTTATTCACAGTTTTACAGCCACTTTGTGCCAGTGAGTGTCATGTGACAGACGCTATTGCTGTAATTACACTATTTGGCCACTTTGTCAAATTAACTTTAAAGCTTGGTGCTCTTCCCGAGGGCTTGGCTGTGGGGCTTGCTATCTTAAGACATGCAGGGGCTACGTCTGCATGATTAGCTGGAAGCTGAGAATGAAAACAATTATGTCCAATATATTATCATGAAAACTACTGATGATATAATATAAAATAACTTTTCATAATAATGGATTGAATTGGAATCATGTCTTTAATTATTTCAAATAATGATATATTTTTTTCAATTTACTCACAGAATTATTTCATAATGTCTATTTATTTAAAGCTGCAGATCTGTTGTTCTTGTAGTTTACAAGAATCAGAGAGCCCAAACAAAAACAAAGCCAGCATTGACGACCTGGGAATGAGACTCTGCAATCATCTATCTTCAAGCCCAAAGCTTTCTTTCCATTCCAGGCCTGGTGGATTCTTGCAGATCCAATTAGAAGCCTTACGATCACAGCTTATCTGTCTCATGTACTACTGTCAGGATATAGTGAAAGGAAATTACCTACTGCTGCTTTAATATTCGACACTTTGGGGTTCCAGAAAACCAAACTCAAATAATCTAGTGTTGTAAAATGAAACAATTCCCCTTCATTAGGAAACCAGAGAGACTGAAAGGAAAGTTAGCTAAATGTATGACATGAATTTGCGGAAAAAAGTAGTTTTTCCATAAAGCTGTAATGTATTGTACAGCCATCAGTAGTCTCCACCCCCATAAACACATCACATGAGATGCTAGCCCTTCTAGCCACATGAAAAGCAGTAGCCCATGAAAACAAGCAGCAATGCAACCTATACAGAACCACTTTCTCATTCAGTGTATGTTTTGTATTTAATGTTGTCAGGAGGTCTGTCGTATGTCCAAGGACCTAGACCAGACGGAGCTTGCAGTTGCCCTTGGAGAGGCAGAGGTGGACCAAGCAAGCAAGCAGGTTGAGTCAGCAGCTGCTGCTGCACACAGCATAATGGTAAGACTTCACCACAGACCTAGTTTAGCATGACTACAGCAGGAAGGTCTGATGTGGGTTTCAGACTGGTGTATGGAGGCTTAGAGGAGGCTTTCATAAATCATAGATTTCCTTTTCAGTATCATCACAAAGTTTGTTTTTTTGGATGTGTGTGGCTGTGTATTGCAATGAATAGCCTCTTGCTGACACCTGTTGTCAGGAATACCACATTGCAGTAGAGACCCAACAGTCTGATGCCTCTTTGAATCAAGTTTTCACCATTATTTACCTTTAATCCCATAATCCAGCTAACATGCTTCTTACGACTGATGTTAAAAGAAAAGACACATTTGCTGTTTAACACATCAAATTTTAGATTAAAACTCCCCCAAAACATATCAAGTAATTATTTGTGCCCATGTCCCAAAGCTTATGTAGGAAAACCTCTGGCCAATTACAAAGAAGAATTTGAGAATAATGTACAAAGTCCTTACTGCAGCACCCCGGGTTTGATTCCAACCTGCAGCCCTTTAACTGCATGTCATCCCCTCTCTCTATCTCTCTCTCTCTCCCCCTTTTTCCTGACAGCTGCCACAGTAGTATCTAAAGGCAATAAAAGCCCAAAAAAGAATCTTATATCATAAATTAGCCAACAGAATATTACCAGTAAACTATCATTATAAAAAGTATTCCAACAACATGGAGTGTGTTAATGTAGAAAAAAACACTGTTAATTGTATTTTACACAATAAAGCTGCAGTAGGTAACTTTTGTGAAAAATAAATTTTTGTCATATTTGCTGCAACTTTGACTATATCCTGGAAGTAGTACATGATACAGATAATCTGTGAATTGATTCCTCTGGCTACTCCTAGTGCTCTTAATGTCATTTGGTTGTTTTTGTTCAGGCCCAGTGAATTTTTGCAATCAGAGCGAGGAAAGCTAGTTGATTGTTGAGTCTTATTCCCATTCGACAAATGCCAACGCTGGGAATGAGATTCAACAATCACCTGTCTTCATGTCACCAACCTGAAGTGTTCTTCTACCTTTCTTGACTCTGATTGGTTGTTTTCATCCAGGCCCAGTGAATTCTTGCAAATAAGTGGCACTAGGAGAAGCCAGATGAAGATGCATTAAACATACTTAATATACATACTAATAGAAGCTAATGTAAAGCATGTTATATAAATAAGGAAAAACAGCAATAGAAAGCGAAATTGAAACTGTCATAATTATACCACATGAGGAGTTACTAGTCCTTTGCACAAATAAACAGTTGTACATTTACCATAAAAGTGGAATTTGGAAATATGGTTAATTGCTTAATTAAGTTTCTTCTTGTTTCTTTTAAAGACAAAAAGTTTTTGACGTGAGTGGGAACCGACTAATTATTCATTACCTGCAGCTTTTAATATCATAGACCTCTATATAAACACAATATAACAGTAAGATAACAGTTACAATATCACATGAATATTTATAAAAAAATAATGGTCACAATGTTAAAATAATAACACTACTTAACTGGCAGTAGTCCTACCTGGCAGTAGTCTTACCCAATGTTAAAATAATAACTGTAATATGTAGCTTCTTTTTAGACTTTTAATACAGTAATAAAAATAATGCAAATGCATACGTAAGAACATGAAATAACCATAAAACACACGTTGGTTTCTGATTGGAGTGACTGCTGAAAGAACAGATAAAGCACCAGGATTAATCAGACCTGGCTGCTGTCAGACTAGGCTACGTGCACAGAATAAATCTCCATGGGTAAAGTATGCGGCACTGCTTTCATGAAACCGAGTTCAATTCAATTCAATTTTATCTGTATAGCGCCAATTCATAACAGAAGTTATCTCAGGACACTTTTCAAATAGAGCAGGTCTAGACCGAACTCCTTAGAACATTTACAGAGACCCAACAGTACCACCATGAGCAAGCACTTGGCGATGGGGGCAAGGAAAAACTGCCTGTTAAAAGGCAGAAACCTAGGACAGATCCTTCGGCTCTAGGTGGGTGGTCGTCTGCCTCGAGTTGAGGCTAAACTAAGCCAAAATCCTGGCTTAATCTGCTATCTAGGTTTTGTGAAACAGCCCCTGGTCCCGGGTGGAAAACAAAAAGAATTAATGATGCAACATTCAAAGGGAGAGAAGCAAACATTCAGACTACACATGAGTAGAAAACAACAACAAACAAAACAAGGTACAGACATGTAATGTAATACGCAGGACAACTGCACAATTTCATATAAAAATACATATTAACATATATTAACATAATTAAATAGAAGTAGTGTAAACAAGTCTAAAGTGAAAAAGTCATTGGGCGGTTGTGGCTAAGAGGGTAGAGTAGGTCGTCCACCAATAGAAGGTTGGTGGTTCAATCACCGGCTCCTCCTGCTGCATGTCGAAGTGTCCTTGAGCAAGATACTGAACCCCAAACTGCTCCCATTGCTGTACCAGTGTGTGAGTGTGGCATTGACATGTACATGTTTTGGAAAAACAACCTATGACCCCTGTTAACTGTTTGTGTTCTGTCAAGCTGTCAACAAGCAGTGATGTTTTCGATGCTCTAAATGGCTCAAATAAAACCAGTTCTCTGCTTCAAGTCTTTCAAAGATTAAAATGGCATTGTCTTTGTTTTCAGGGCACGATGGTCCAGACAGAATGTGAGACAATGGGAAGGAAAAGAGAAATGGACAGTGAGCTGTGGGAGCTGAGTGCAGAGGAAAAGGAGCTAAAAAGGAAGATGGAAACACTCTGGCGTCGTAGCCTATCAGTACAGAGCCAGCAGAAAGAGCGGGTAAAAAAGGAGCTAATCTAAGAATAATCTGAGTCAATTTGTAAATAAGTGATTGATAAAAGTTTGTGGTTGTCTTTTTTCACATGCAGGACATTGAAGAAGCACAGTCAACTTTTGTCAAAGGTATTGCAAGAAAGAGCTTGTTTCATTCAGCTGCCTCACTGTAGTCATGCTGTGCTGTGTGTAGATGCAATCCCTAAACACCACTGGTCTTATTACTATCAACCTGCCATAGTCCTGTGTTAATATAGTTTTGTATTTATTAATAGTTTAGTTTTATTAGGGCTCGAGCACTGACCAGTGCAAAAGCCCTATTGTATTGTATTCTGTCTGTCTCTCTCTCTGTCTCTCTCTCTGTCTCTCTCTCTCTCATCCCAACTGGTCGAGGCAGACGACCACCCACCTAGAGCCGAAGGATCTGTCCTAGGTTTCTGCCTCTTAACAGGGAGTTTTCCTTGCCCTTGTCGCCAAGTGCTTGCTCATGGTGGTACTGTTGGGTCTCTGTAAATGTTATAAGGAGTTCGGTCTGAACCTGATCTATTTGAAAAGTGTCCTGAGATAACTTCTGTTATGAATTGGCGCTATCCAAATAAAATTGAATTGAATTGAATTGAATTGAAAATCAGCCTTTGTGTTTCAAAATTCAGTCGTGGCGAAGGCTAACCTATTGTCTTGGTCCTGTACATGAGAGTCGCAAAATAGCTTAGCCCCCAAAACACTTAAGACCGACATGTACGAAAATTGGCACGCATGTGTATCATGGTTGGACAAGTAAAAAAGCCTCTTGGACCCATAACCCAAACAACAGGAAGTCGGCCATTTTGAATTTCGTGGTCATTTTCGGCGATTTGCACTCCTCCTAGGGAATTTATTGGATCAACTTTAAATTTAATCAGTGCAATCTAAAGACATTTATGATTAAAAGTTGTTAACTTTATGACATTCCGTTGAATGGAGTGCCCGTGGTGTGGCGTCCAATTTCGACGATTCACCATGAAAAAGGAAGTTATCATAACGTCAGTTCAGTCAAACAACTCACGTTTGAAATGTTTATTACAGCAGTATAGCATATTTAGATATGGCGTCTAGGTTCCGACCCCGCAGATATGTTTACATAGAGATATTGGGGAGTGATGCGCAAATACCTTAACCCCTAGCTGGAGCCTACTGGTGGATGCTGGGGTGGTGGTGGGGCTTACATCGCAGCAGGCAGCTTTAATTTAATTTGTAATTTTTGTTTTTTTAAACACAACAGAGAAAAATAATGGAAAATGAAAATAATACAGGGATAGTAGGTAAATGAGCTAAATAAATGACATGATGGTACACGCCATCTTGTACAGTAGTTGGCGGTATTCTCCTTAACGTTGTATGCAATTTGCCATTAAATTCAGAGAAGATGTCATACAGACATCCCAGTTCACCAAATTGTTTTTGTTGACTAAAAGTTTGCAAAATTAAGAACTTTATAATTTTTGTGTCAATAAATAAATAAGTAAATAAGTAATTAAATAAAAATCAGTACAATAGTAGTATCCTTCCATCAGTGTAACAGAGCAATATCAGCTCTGCACTCAGCTCTGTTTAATGCTATAATAAACTACAATACTGTAAGCGATATAAGTTATGTAATCAAGTGGTTAAAGTGTTTATGTGCTCTGTGTGCCTCCGCAGATTATCAGCATCATGACATCTGTGGTGCTTCCCAGTCGGACATGAAGCTGGTAGAAGATATGGAGGCTCTGATAGAGGCTCTAGGCTGCGCTGACGTGCAGGTACTCAGTATAGCTCATATTTAGATGCATTATTAATGAAGCAGTTTTAGCGCACAAGTTCCCCTGAAATGCTGTACATGCTTCAAATACACAAATAGAACAGCAAGGTCATAAATAGAAACAAATAGAAAAGAGGTAAAACTATGAACTAATGCTATATTCCAGTTTAGTGTTGAACAAAGCTAAAGTAACTCCAGAACCCTCTGTGGCTTCCAACTGAACTCCATCTTTATATAATAAGCCACTGTGGGAAATGCATTGGGTTATTTCCCCGGAGTTATATGACTCATTTGTCTGATCAGTGCCACTGTGTTTCATTGTGGTAACAAGTTATACCTCAACCTCAGTGGCTGTAGACAGCTAAGATTTCTATGTCCAACCGTCTTATACATTTGTACAATTGTGTCCATTACACAGCGCTGTGATCAAGTATTACTTGAGGAGATTTTTGTCTTTTCACAGCTAAAATTATGTTTTTATAAATTTGTATATATTTGGCACAGAATGTTTTTTATTTAATATTTGCTCACTTGCACTTAATTAAATTCTTCATAACAAATGATATGATTCATCTCTTTTATAAGTTTCCTTTGAGGTACAGTAGGTTATTTTTAGACAAATATTTCTTTATTATATTTGCTGAAAATGTCACTGTATCCTGACAGAAGAACATGAGACAAAAAATCGGTGAAAAAATCAGGTTCCTCTGGCTCCACATAGTGCTCCTAATGGTATTTTTGTTTCCTCAGATCTGATTGGTTGTTTTAATTCAGGCCTGGTGGATTCTTGCAAATCCCATAAGAGCTAGACTACATTGTCATCTCCATAACAATCGTTCCCTGTACTTTTGTTCTAACTGCCAGATTTTCAGGTTTTTTTGTAGCTGGATATAATTAGTAGTGTCCTAAAATATAAAATTTAGGATAGTGATAGCGAGTCACTCGCTACAGTTGCACTGTACTGATGAAATTATGAAAACTCTCAATGAAACGAGGGGGTTAAGAATTTGGAGCTGTAGGGGTTACACTACTATTTAATTAGAAAGGTAATTAATCAGATCAATTAATCAGTGATTAATAATACACTCGTAAATGGGGCACCACCTCCGTTGTTTAGCTACTGGAGTAATCCGGAGGAAATTATTCCACAGATCTAATCAAATCAATTTCAAATCAATTTATTAAATTTCAAAATCTATATTTAATCTCATATTTCTGAAGTAGTGATTTCTTTTACACGATTCATCGATTTCTCCGCATCAAATCAAACCTGCACCGACAAGGACATACGGTTATATATGTTTATTAACTAAATTAATGAAGAGTAAATAGCATGAAATGATAATGTAAACAAATAACAACAAATAACAGAATTATTAACATTGGGTGATTCAGGAGCGATGGTGGATTTTGCGATACGGCAGTAAATTTAAAATATTACGGGAGTAACTTTTAAAACTACGAGGCCCTAATCGAAAATTCTTCTAAGCTTAAACTATGGGAATCAAAGCTCACAGACAGACACCAACTCTTGGGAAGTGTGTGGGACCCCGGCAGTGTATGTGGGTTTCAGCCTACTTTGTTGTAGAGATGGAGGGACTTCAGAATCTTTCTCCTCCGGCTGGTACTGCTCGGCTGCTGTTCAGAATCACAGGTCCAAGAACGTGTCGTCACCGATACCAATTAGCGCTCCAGTCTAAGGCCCAGCGCGGCTTGGCGCTTTGAGTGCGTTGGAGGCAGATAGTCTGGAGGATAATGTCTTTGTCCGGCTGAAACGTTTATACGTCTCCTTGAGCGGTCAACCACTGTGATGTCCTCCTGGCTTGTGATAAATGTCTTAAGAAAAGTTCCTCAGAGTGGTTGGTCTTCGGCTTTGATTATGAACTAATCCAACTTCTTGTCTAAAATAACTGTAGGACGAAACGCTGGCCTTGCGAATCCTCTGTAGTCACTAAGTCCAAAAATTAAAATAAATTCACTTTCTGTGAATCAGGCGACAATACTTGAAAAGATATATAAACTAAAAAAATCGTATAAAAGAATTAACTTTGTTTGTGTCTTGAGCCTTCAAAATAAAAGTACTAAAAGTACTTCAGCACCACAAACTATTACGTGAGGAAAAACTCAACACGTGTCTCAAACGAAGTAAAATAAAGTACGGAAATTGAAAGTAGAACGAGAGTAAATAACGAATGGATCCAAAATAGATTTAAGAAGAGAGTTTTGGAAGTGTAACGTAAGAAGTGAGTGGGAGTGACCGGAGTCTATATTATATATATTTTAGTCTGGAGGCGTATCCGGAAAGGCTAATCGCGTCACTTCCTTTAGCGATATTCCGATATTCGTAACTTACTTCTATCGTGTTTTAAAGTTTCGAAATCATAATTCACCATTCACAGAACCCACCATGACTTAATACATAGTTTACATGTTTTAACATAACATAACCGAAATTACTTGATGTAAAAATAAAAGCAGAACCAGTTAAAATGTCACAAACATGCATATGAAGCAACACTAATGGATTGTACATATTTCATATAGTGTTAGCTTAATTCTTGTTATAAAATTATGTGTCAGGCATTTACCATTTGGAATAATACACAATTATAAAACAAAATCAGTTTTGAAGATACCTTACGCTATACCAGAATCTTACCAAAAGGTGGCACTGTGGCTCCATCAAACATTCAGACATTTTACACATGATTTTGTAACTTAGTCCAATCTGAAGACAGAAACATCAGACAAACATTACATTTGCGACCTTCTCATGCTGGATGGCAATCTGTTAATTTTGAGAAGATGAAATTTTACCATAATACTCCAACAGAACTAAATCTATATCCGTGCAACTGTTGTTACTGCTTCCTAGATTGGAATGGCCACTATCAAAAGAAAACATCGTAATTCACACTGTAGAGGAAGGGGTGTCAGAATGCCAGATGTGGATTCCAGAGGAGTTTCTCTCTGGAGGTGATGCAATTTAGATCAAAGGAGATGCAAACACATTCCATGTCCATTCCATAGGGATTTATAACTAAAAAGGCATTTAAATCATCACACATCTCTTGTAAGAAAACAACGGTTTCCAGAACCTAAGTGTGAAGTGTCGTTCTGATCTATGGAGGAGTCAGTGTTCTGTTGAAGAGGATAAAACAAATTGACACCTAGAGATACCATCTGTGAATCTGAAAAGAACCAGGCTCTCGGTGCAGGAGACTGTCGGCACCACAGTCTCACCTCCCCTCCTGGGTCAAAAAGGTCAAAGGGAAAAAAGCCTTGAAAACTCTCCTGGTGGAACATAATCAAAATAATATGATGATTGTTGAATTAAGAGACAGATAAAGCGTCTCTCGTAGAAAAAGACGAGGACAAGGTCCTACAGAGCCATGCATGGCTACATGGATACATTTTAATGCTTGTGTGTAACAAATTGATGTGATCCTTTTGTTTGTCCAAAACTGCCATTTCGAGCAGCTGACTTTCAATGAGCCGATTGGCTGTTGAAACAAGTATCTTTAGGTAGATTTCTGTAAAATTCTTCACAGCAAGCCAAGCTCATTATTATTATATTGTGTCAACACCTTCTCATCCTAGGTCACCAAATACCGATGCTGTTTTGTCACACTCATCGTCGTCTCATACAAAAGCACAAGGTGACCTTTGGTGTCTGTATGAGACGCCCTTTTAACACGTGGTTAACGTTGGGAAACGGTTGCAGTTTTGTTAGATTTGGGCAACAAAACTACTTGGTTAGGTTTAGGAAAAAAACATAATTACTGGAAAATAAGTCATGTGAGGCATGTCACATGAAAGTCTTGTGTTGTTGATCAGTATGACTCCAAGTGTCCAATGCCAGGAAGTGATGCAATGCCTTGTATCCAAAAAAACTAGTGCTGTCAGTTAAACGCGTTAATAGCGGCGTTAACGCAAACCCATTTTAACGGCGTCAATTTTTTTATCACGAGATTAACGTTTGTTTAACTTTGTCGTTTTTTTCACATGCTGTTGCAACAAGTAACATTAGAAAAACTACAACACCACACCGGATCTAGCTAGACCGGAAACAAAACAACAGGCACGCCGCACACACTTGTTTAAGAGTAGTAGACGTTACATTTTGAGTGGATGGCGAGCGCGGACACCGAAATGGATGCCAATAATATTCTGAATGGAAAGTTTACTTTTAAAAAGTTGCCAAATGGTTCCATTGAGAAGACCAAAGTGATTCTGTGATTTTTGTCGTTGTGAACTGAGCTATCATCGCAGCACGTCCAGTCTGAAATACCACTTGATGGCCAAGCACACAGCTGATGCAAATTCTCCGCCCCTCGTCAAAGCCAGGCGACAATGGATGATTTTTCTATAAAAACAACATTTGCACAAAGCAAGCTGATCCACTTTTCCATGTTGATAAGAGCATTAAAATTAGAAAAAATAATGGGACAAAAAGAAATCAAGGGACATTAAGAATAGATAAAAATGTGCGATTAATTGTGATTAATTGTGAGTTAACTATGACATTAATGCGATTAATCGCAATTAAATATTTTAATCGTTTGACAGCACTAAAAAAAACCTTGTAGACACATAGCATTACACTACGTCACCTGACGTGGGTGGCTTACACTGAAGTTAGATGCAGCCCACTGCCTCTCAAACAGACACTAAGGAGTACTTGTGCGTCTGTCTTGAGACTCCAAGGAGTGTGACAAAACATCAGTATTTAATGCCCTGGGGCAGACTGATTATGTGACCAGAGAGCCTGATTAAACCACTGTTTTTCTGGCTGTATGGTGTCTGCCTGTCTCCATAGGATCTAGTTAACAAGGTAGTGTCACAACGAGCCACCAAGGAGCAGCTCCTCATTGAGGTAACGCAGTATAAAGAACTAATCAGGCAAGAAGCCGAAACCCTGGCTGATCTGGAGGTCCAATACACCGAACTGAAGTTCAGTGAGAAACCTGCAACTACACGGTACTGTCATTGAAGCTCTGCTACACAGCTGTTATCCACTGTTGAAACATTATATTGAAGTGTCATATTGAGTATTATAGTCAACCTTGTCACTAATTGTAAATATCACAATATATGTTAGTTGAAGAGTCAAAATGTGGCTCTCAGATGGTCACCTACTATACTTTAAATCAGACTTTAATTTAGTACACCACTTTCATTCAAAAACAATCTAACTTAACTAGAGCTCAAACAATTAGGTGAATTACTAAATTGATCGATATATGTAGATACATTTAAAATGAATCCGTTTTGAAAATGGAGTAATTGTTAATGCTTGGTTTGTCTACGTGGAAAAGACAACCAAACTTTAAAGATGGTTAAAAGATAAGTGACACATAGTCGGATGGGCTAAGTAAACGGTCAGCTGATGCGCTATGAGGGCAGGGATCATTGGAAATGCAGTTTAAAATTTAGACAGTTTTAAAAAATGTGCCACGTGAAAAAAAAATTGTTTTTGGAAATGTTTTAAAAACCTTATGTTTAATCTGAATATAATACTTAAAGTATATATACTTTTAGACCTAATACTAGGATAGGTTACTTTAACTCTATAAGCAATAATTATGGATAGGTAAGACATAGCATCTTTAGTCATACAACCCAGTCTGCTCTAGATGCTGGTCTTGTCAAATGCTGTGAGACATCAATGTGGACCACCGCATCTGTCTTTTAACTCACTTGGCAGGTAGAAGTTTAATGCCCCTGGCTGTGTGGAGGGGTTATTAATGAGGGTGATGATTATTTGAAAGCATCTCTGTGCTAGCAGCTCTGATAAGGCTGCTTGTGGCTGAATTGAAGATTTATCAGTCTGGCACAGCGAGGACAACATCCTTTTGTGGGTTGATTGGGCCTGATTGATGTCTTTGCTGATTTCTCCTGAGATTTTTTCACAATCCCCTCTCCCAGCACCTCAGGCCATTCTCACAGTGTTTCACAGTGACATATTCAATATTTGTTCCGCTTGTTACACTCATCACTTAATCTTCTTAAATAGATGGCACAGGGACAGTTTGTGCTGAAGAACTGTGAGACAGCTTCAAATGGGGCCATTAAAAGTTGAATCATATACTGCTCACTGTGGCATTTTAATACCGTGTTTTGCTTTTATTACATAAGGAGAGAGGGGCTGTCTCAAAAAACCTCCATCTGTTTATCTCAAGGTTTGACAAGCTGAAGGAACAATTGCAGGCATGGCTGAATCAGGAAGTGGACCGTGTTCAACGACTGCAGGCTGAGCTGAAGCAGTCTCAGGATCTGTTGGACAGTGTTGAGTTCGGGGTCAACAACTTCTACTTCAGGATGAGCTGTGTAGCCTTGGAGGTCTGGACCAAAAACTGTCTTCTCTAAACTTTCTCCTTCAAAAATTGCTTCAGGATGGACCATATTTGTGTTTACTACTGTCAGTAAGGGACAGACTCAGATTCTTCCGAGTCTGTCTTAAAGCTGTATTAATAATAACTTAAAGCTGCAGTAGGTAAGTTGTATAAAAATAACTTTTTTCATATTTGCTGAAACTTTTAGTATATCCTGACAGTAAAAAATGTTCCTCTGGTTCCTCTGTAGCACTCCTAATGGCATCCACAAGAATCCACTGGGCTTGAACGAAAGCAACTAGAGCCAAGAAAGATAATTGATGAGTGTAATCCCCAGGGATACGGATGCTTTGGAACCCTGGGAATGAGAGTCAACAATCAACTATCTCAGTGCACCTAACTCAGAGCCTTTCTATATCTTTCTCAGCTCTGATTGGTTGTTTTGTCCAGGCCCAGTTGATTCTTGCAAATGCCATTAGAAGCGCTAGAAGGAGCCAGAGGGACCAGATTTACCCCACAGATTATGTCTCATGTACTACTGTCATGGCACAGTGAGAATTCCAGCAAGTTATTTTTATAAAAGTTACCTACAGCAGCTTTTATACCATGCAAACATGCCATATGTACCTTGAAAAAGTCAAAGCTTGTTGCTTAGCTTTTTCCTCTCCATACTGGCGGTGAAGCAATGCCTTCATTGTGCGGCTATAGTGTTACAAGCCCAAAGCTGTGCCCCAGATCAATACTACATAGTAAATACATTACTTACTAAATGTCATGGTGTATAGTGTATACTGTTTTAGCAATTACAAGAAAATCAACATATACACATGAAATACATAGTACAAATACAATACAAACTGCGATTTTCAAATGCCACGTTTTAATGTCTTTATAATTAATACTTACATTTTTGTTTAAGATCATCCACAATCTTGGTATGAGGAGGCCTTTGTGCATTGCACTGTGGGAGAATAAATTAATGGATGTGTTGTGTCTGATTAGATAATGCTGGAGTCTACATCCATACTAACAGCTCTGTGAGGCTGTAAATCATGTAAATGCTAGCATCAGTATGCTAACATATTCACAGTAATGATGCTAACATGCTGCTGTTTAGCAGATATAATGTTTACCATGTTTCACTATCTTAGTATCATGTCAGCTTGTTTTGGATGAATTGCCAAAATCGTCATACAAACATTGGTGGTTCCCAGAATATAGATTCTACTGATTTGGTTGATCCTCTTACCTTTCTTCTAAGGCAACCAGCAGGTTTACATTTTTGGCTTTTGGATTTTAAATATTTTGACAACTCTGATTGACGACTGATTGTCGAGAAATCAGGCACACACTTTTGGAATGATCGATATGACGTATTCACCAAAACTTTCACTCCTCTTCAGGAGCTGCCCAGTGCATTCAGTACTGACAGCTTAGACAAACTAAGGGATATCAGCGCCCGTCTACCAACATTACAACAAAGAGCATTAGAGAAGGAACCTGAGATTAGCGGCCTGGACCAAGATAAGGTGCTACAATTCACCAATACTTTAAATTTTCTTTCACTGTGGGTCTGACTAAAGCTATTTTCACAGGACCAGACAGGTTGATGTGTTTAATCTATTATTTTGTGTTGACGTTATAGCTTTCTAAACATTGGTGCTTTATCATTGATATTAATAGTTATGTATCTGAGCTACCAATACACAGATTTTGTATAGCTTCTTAAAATCTTTAAATTTTACTATTTTCTTTATCAGTTACCACTAATTAATTTAATGTAACTATATATATACTATATATGTATAGTGAAAGTTTCAGCAAAGATTACCTACTGCAGCTTTAAACCAGAGTTACATGAGAAGATTGATCTACAGTATTTATAAAATAATGTTTTTGGCATGTTCTCAAATGTGTCTGTTAATTTGTACGTATCTGTCCAATCAGTTGTTCATAAGATTTATGTTTTCTTCTTGTAGCTTATAATGTTGCAATTCTTGTTGAGCTGTGATCTTGAGTCTGTTGTATCGGGTTAATGTGTTAACCCTCATAACCTTTGCCCCCTGCCTCTTTCTTCCTTAGGTTTATGATTTGTTGGAAGAGCTTAACATGATGGAGTTGAAGAACAACAAGAGACCAACCACCCCTATAGGTGAGTCTTACAGAACCGGATGCATCCAAGTATGGACTGAAGAATTGAGGCAAACAACATACTGGACTAAAATAGTGGAATGGGTTAGGGCACTGAGGCTTGTGCATTTTGTCCTTAAAAAAGATACAAAACTGTGTTTCTCCGCTTTGAATCTCCTCTAACCTGCCTGATAGACTTCTGGCTTGCTGCCACAAAGTTGATCTGTGCTGCTTGACTCGAGCAGGTTGCGGTTCTGTCAAAAATAGATCAGATGCATATTCAAGTATATAATCCATTTATTCTACATGGAGCAGAGTGGAGAGACACTTCTGGGATGCACTGCAGCTCTCCTGGTGGAATTTCAAAAAAATATTTAAAGAGCAGCCATACAGGTTAAACAAGTACACTACCTGGTGGAAAAGTCAAAGTGTGCAGAGTTTATGTAAGCTTTTAGGAAGCTAGGATGCTTGTGGAATAAAAATGTCCTATACTGCAAGCAAGTTAGGATAGGAACATTGTCTTACCAACTTTAGCTTTTGTTATATATAAAATATTTCTTAGATCCAGTGTGTAACATTTAGGAGGATCTATTGTTGTTGTGTTTTCGTTACATTAGAACTACAGAGGAAGCAGGTCCTCTTCCACAGAATCCGCCATGTTGAACCACCAATTCAATTCAATTCAATTCAATTTTATTTGTATAGCGCCAATTCATAACAGAAGTTACCTCAGGACACTTTTCAAATAGAGCAGGTCTAGACCGAACTCTTTAAAACATTAATTACAGAGACCCAACAGTACCACCATGAGCAAGCACTTGGCGACAAGGGCAAGGAAAAACTGCCTGTTAAAAGGCAGAAACCTAGGACAGATCCTCCGGCTCTAGGTGGGTGGTCGTCTGTCTCGACCAGTTGGGGTGAGAGAGAGAGAGAGAGACAGAGAGACAGACAAACAGACGCACAGCAACAACAGTATTGGCAATGGCAATCTAGCAGGACCATGGCAGGAGGCTCCACCAGGATCGACAGTAGTACACGTTTCTACAGTAGCCCAGAAGGGACAAAATAAACACTGGCTCTAGATAGGGCCTTTTGTGTTTATCACAAGTTTCACCATAGTTCCGCCTACACCAGTGGTAGGCAACCTGCAGCTCTTCAGCCCCTCTCCTGTGGCTCCCTTTGACCTACAGTGATTCTTACATTCTCCATTCTTTGATCATGTTTGAAATCATATACTTGTACTACTATACTATATAGTTTCAACTGTATAGTATGTGAATTTTGTGTATGCTAGAAATGCCCAGATTGTATGGTAGATTAGCAAGACTTTCTGAGTATACAAACTCAACTGCCCCAAAATGCATTGCATGTCTTCTGACTGTTCAATGGCGGACTGTGAGGCAGATGGTTTTATACTATTTTTGCGCATTTTTTCTCCACAAAATTCACATTTGAGAATATTTGAATCAAGAAATCAACCATGTACATTGTGAATATCTGTGTGTTTGAGGTGCTCAAATTTTTTCAGAGTAGAGAATCTCCAGAAGAACCAACAGGGGTAGCTAGCCAAATGGTGAATTTAAATTATTGCGGTAATCGTGATGATCGTGAATATCTTCATGTCTTGACTTGAAAAAGCTATCTAGCTCTGCAGCATACAGATTTCCTCATTTATTTTGAACAAGGGGGAAAGGGGGGGCCCGCGTTTTTGTCATTCCAAAATCCTAATCCTGTTACCATGGCAGAAGGCTCAGCCTGCCCATTGAAACAGTATATAAAATAATAAGATTCCAAAATAAAGAGCAGGGAGATGTGGTGTCTGTGTGATGCAATAAATATGTTTCTTAACTAAATGTAAAGGGATTCCAGTATGTGCCATTTTCAAAGTATATTTTCCTCATTATTGTGCTATATCATGTATCACCAAGATAATCAAGACATATGCTCCCATGCCTAGTCTTGACCAAGAATCTGCCTTCCTTTCTCAAAACCCATCTTACAGGCACTCCCCAGCTTAGTGATGATGAAGAAGAGTGCTCTCCATCCCGTGAGGAGATCAAACGACGCAGCATTAGACTGATTGATTCCAGGCAGAACAGGAGGTCCGCGAGGAAAGCCTGCAAGAAGTAGTAGAGGGACAGACCACACAGTGGGTAGAATCAGGCTTATGAAATAAACAAGATAACAGGAGTTTATTTTGTATGCCTCAGTTAGTTTCATTTAACTAACCTCTTGAATATACAGTGGGTACGGAAAGTATTCAGACCCCTTTAAAGTTTTCACTCTTTGTTTCTTTGCAGCCATTTGCTAAAATCAAAAAAGTTCATTTTATTTCTCATTAATGTACACTCAGCACCCCATCTTGACAGAAAAAAAACAGAAATGTAGAATTTTTTGCAAATTTATTAAAAAATCAAAACTGAAATATCACATGGTCATAAGCATTCAGACCCTTTGCTCAGTATTGAGTAGAAGGACCCTTTTTAGCTAGTACAGCCATGAGTCTTCTTGGGAATGATGCAACAAGTTTTTCACACCTGGATTTGGGGATCCTCTGCCATGCTTCCTTGCAGATCCTCTCCAGTTCTGTCAGGTTGGATGGTGAACGTGAAGGTGGTGAAGCCATTTTCAGGTCTCTCCAGAGATGCTCAATTGGGTTTAGGTCAGGGCTCTGGCTGGGCCAGTCAAGAATGGTCACAGAGTTGTTCCAAAGCCACTCCTTTGTTATTTTAGCCGTGTGCTTAGGCTCATTGTCTTGTTGGAAGGTGAACCTTCGGCCCAGTCTGAGGTCCTGAGCACTCTGGAAAAGGTTTTCTTCCAGGATATCTCTGTACTTGGCCGCATTCATCTTTCCTTCAATTGCAACCAGTCGTCCTGACCTTGCAGCTGAAAAACATCCCCATAGCATGATGCTGCCACCACCATATTTCACTGTTGGGATTGTATTGGGCAGGTGATGAGCAGTGCCTGGTTTTCTCCACACATACCGCTTAGAATTGGAGCTCAGCCACAGTGATTTTTGGGTTCTTCTTTACCTCCCTCCCCAAGGCTCTTCTCCCACGATTGCTCAGTTTGGCTGGACGGCCAGGTCTAGGAAGAGTTCTGGTCGTCCCAAACATCTTCCATTTAAGGATTATGGAGGCCACTGTGCTCTTAGGAACCTTGAGTGCTGCAGAAATTCTTTTGTAACCTTGGCCAGATCTGTGCCTTGCCACAATTCTGTCTCTGAGCTCCTTGGGCAGTTCCTTCGACCTCATGATTCTCATTTGCTCTGACATGCACTGTGAGCTGTAAGGTCTTATATAGACAGGTGTGTGCCTTTCCTAATCAAGTCCAATCAGTTTAATTAAACACAGCTAGACTCCAATGAAGGAGCAGGACCATCTCAAGGAGGATCAGAAGAAATGGACAGCATGTGAGTTAAATATGAGTGTCACAGCAAAGGGTCTGAATACTTATGACCGTGTGATATTTCAGTTTTTCTTTTTTAATAAATTTGCAAAAATTTCTACATTTCTGTTTTTTTCTGTCAAGATGGGGTGCTGAGTGTACATTAATGAGAAATAAAATGAACTTTTTTGATTTTAGCAAATGGCTGCAATGAACCAAAGAGTGAAAAATTTAAAGGGGTCTGAATACTTTCCGTACCCACTGTATGTGAATTATTTCACTTTACAGTTTTAACAGTTAAAGCCCCTCAGTGAACATACGTGTATTCTGTACGTAAAGCACCCTTAAGTGTAAAATTAAAAATTGTAGAGCATCTCTTGAACCACAGGGAGGGAGCATTGTGCAACTAATTTAAGACAACAGACTCAGATGTTGAAGCTGGTGTTTCAGTTTTTCACTGGATTGAATCCCAGCTTAGGTGAAAGTGAGTCTGGCAAGGAGAAAGTCTGCCTACATGAAAATGAACATATTATACGCTAATCAGATCTCATCTGGGCCCATCTAGACAAAAAGGCAGACCTTCCACCGAAGTACTGACAAGGAGTTGGAACATGTGATTTAGCACTACAGTATTTTACGACCTAGAATGCAATCAAAAAAAGAATACACCATACATTAAGCAGCACAGTAATTTATCAGTGAATTTAAATAATTTTAAAATGATTCCTATTAAATAATGCTGTCAAACAGAGACTGGTTCTCATCAAATTATTAGAATTATACAATAGCACTAAGAAAGAAATGTACAATGAATGCAGAAGTCAGTATTTAAAATTATGTAAATAAGGAATGACTTTTGAAAACTTCCCTGTTGTTTATTGGCTATGCTATATACCATGTTTTATTCAAGACATCCACCCCACATTTCTCTTCTATCAAGTTCACAGTCTGACTTACACAGTCACCATAGATGCTGTCCGTTGGCATGGTTACACATAACTAAATATACCAACCATTCACCCAAAGCACTATTGCATGCTGACCTATGATTACAGCCTGATGAGGGACTTAAATCAAAGTGGTCAGGTTAACAATCAGTAGCAGATAACTGTTACTGGACTGTAGAACACTGGCCAGAAATAGAAAAATGTTCCACTGAAAAACTACACATTACTGGTTTTACTGCCTTTTAAGATACGAGAGATAAGCAGTGTCCATTACGGAGTTATGCTGAAAAAGGTATTTTAAATAAGAAATATCATATTTAATAGGAATTCTTCTGAAAACTAAGATTGGACATTGGATAACCCTTTTTGCAGTGTGTACCTTGGTCACCAGTGTGGATCTAGGACATGATGTGACTAGAGGCCATTTCTTTTGTTGATGTCAAGAGCTAGGCTGATATGGAAGGAGATGACAGGCATGTAAAAAGCCACGTCAGCCAGATGGAAAAAAGAGTGGAATAAAATGTTGTTTTTTAATACATGGAGAACATTTTTATTTCTAAGTGAGATAATATATGTCACGCTTTGATCTGTTGTCTCAAATCGTTTGGGGAGCAAAATATCTCATTTCAAGCTTCAATGTTTTGTTAGCATTAGTTAAGTTGAGCTGTGGCTCAGAGGTAGAGAG